AATTCATCATTTTTGGAAGTTTATATATAAAACTATGGATAACCTGTGATATACCTATCTTTCCATGGGCTTGGGTGATGTGGGTTGACTGCCCGTGAACCCAGGCCTGGTGGCACCTCGGGCGCAATGGCTCCGTAGCAGCCTGGGGGCATGCTGGGCGACCACAGTCCGCACCATGGAAAAAAAAACCAGCCAAACCTTCCCTCCTCCGCAAAATTCCAGGTGGGGAAGATCCTTTCCGCATTCGTTGTGATCTTGCTCATATTTGGGCAATTGGTGTTGGAAAAGAATTTGTGGGGAGTGCACTGATCCTCCTAGCCGGTGAGTTACAGGTTTGGCCAGGGAGAAGCATTGGGACCAGATTAGAAGTAGGATACAGCCAGTTTCGCAGTTGGTGCCACGACAACAAGCAGACCTGCAAAATCAACGAATTCAGACTGAGAACGTTCAAGATCAACTCGCTTCCCAAGATTTGCATAGATCAAATTTTATATCCTTCCCCATATATGGTATCCATATGTATATAATATCTGTGTGTGTTTGGCCTACATGCATATGTACTTCCTCATCCACTCGCACCGGCCCAGGCTGAAGCAGTTTCCTGGCCTTCAAGGACAGGGTCATGACTGCATTGTCGTCAACAAGTGGTTGTCCCACCTTTGCGATGAGATTGACCGGGAAAATTTGGAGCCGGGGCAGTATATATATAATTAAATTTTAATAACCCAATGAAATGGTAAAGGGGTCCCATAGCATATTTTGTTTTGGAATCCAATTCATCCTACTAAGGATGAAGAAGACCATCAGCTTTTTGATGCCCTGAAATTTGCAGCGGATTGTGGAAACCATTGGTTTCGGGAGCTCTATCGTTTTGGTGTCTGGATTCCTGGGGCCGAAGGTGAACAACTATCTCATGCAGCCTATGGACTGACAGAAACTTAACAAATATGCAATTTACTTTTGGGATGGGGGTCCCTATTCCGTGTCACCTTGAACTTGAATTTGCGGGGTTACCAATAACTGCCAAGGAAGGCTACCAAGCCTTAGCGAGACTATGTGCTATGCGGCGCCTCCACCTCTTCCGGGTGAAACCCAAACTCCATATGCATGACCACGTGTCGAGACTGGGATCCAATACATTCCAATTTTAAGGTTTTATCCCCACAAATATGCAATGGATATTTTGATGTTTTTAAACTTTGTACCAACAGCAGCCTAGGGAAGAAATTGAGCATTTTGGAGTCCAAGAAGGTGCCGAGTTCCTTCTTAACCCCTTGAGTTACTCTGGATCAATCAACCAGTCGGTATCAGTTTTTGGATTTAATTATGTTTACTTGGGCCATGCTTTGCGCTGGTATATATTTCTTGGCCAATTGCAAATGCTATCTTAGGTTTTGCCTGCTGGCAGGATGAGGATTATGTTGGAAAGTGTTCTCGTGTGAGCCGAAGGACACATGCTTTCACTACTTGCTTAAGATCCTTCACTAGGATCCTCATGCAGTACAAAAGGTTGTTCAATGCCTAGCCGTGTGCCCTGGCAACACCCTCACCGCAGATCAAGGTGGAAAATGCAACTGAGCGCCCAGCTGAGGGTGAGCAGTCAAAGTTGAAGTGCACAGTGTTGAGTGCATGTGCAGGGGATGGCAGGTTCTGGGTGTGGGATTGGCTTCCTTAGTGGTTCTTAGAATGCACCTCGAGCATATTTTTGGGGATCGAGCATAAATCCAACATTTGATCATATTTTACATGAAACGTACCTGAAATTTCTCGTACCCTAAATTTAAGTTACAAATGAAGCTCCTGGATGTATCAAAATACATCACAGAACTTGACCTTGGAGGCACAGAGTTGGTGGTCCCACGCGGGCCTTTCGGAAATTCCGGTTTTCACAATGTCCGAGGGCGGACCGTGGACAAGGAATAGGTTTCTGGGGCCAAGTCTCCAAGGTGCTCGGTACTGAGTCCCAGCGGGTTTAGAGGCCTTTGTTATGTTGTTTTTGAATGGGATAACATGGGAAAACCATGGGAAAACCATGTTTGTTTCGCCAAATTTAGGTGTGTAAATTTTCCCAAGCCATTCTAGGATAATGGATCCATCAACCAATAGTTTTTTTGTATTTTAACATGGGGGATCATTCAATGAACTTGGAATTGTGACCGTTGAGGGGGCACCTCTAAGCAGATGGGTTCAATGATGGATTGAAGGTACTCTATTCATTTTCAAATGCATCATTTCACAGTCTAGTAAGAGAAGATATATGATTCATATATGGTGATGTATGTATTTGCGTGCATCTATTTAAAGGATTGGCATCACATGATTAGAATATGTTCTGGATCTGGAGACTGCAGCCTTCCAGTGCAGTGATGCCTCCCTCAAAATGGGTATGGGCCGTATTATGGGTCAAAACATGTCAAAACCCTTGTCATCAGTGTGGTTGATGAGTTTTATGCCCCGAGAGGGGGAAACAACACGAACAAGGGACATACATCGAAATACATCTGCAGTGCAGCGGCATGATCGGAAGAATTCGAACAAACTCCTTGTTGCCTGTGGCTGAAAATCATGCAGCAAATCTAATAAGAAACCGTGCACACCCATGTTTACCATGTTGGGTGTCAAACTGTAGAATATGATGGATCATGATGGATCTTTCCTTTCCTCTCCATGGTTGCCACGGGGCCTCAAAGACGTTGTAGCTGCTTTCTCTGTGACGTGTGAAGCAAACCAGCTCCCAATCTGCAGCGGTGCTGTTCATTGACATCTCCGACATCTCCCGAATTATATTCTCTATCATCAAATATCATATCTCCCCTTCTGCAACGCCATCTCAGCAGGTGAGACTGACCCAGAGTCAGGGGCGAGTAGCACAGCGACCCCACAAATCGGGGAGCCAAAAGCGATAATCAGATAATATATATATATATATATGTTTTATACTTTATACATATAATATATATACTTATATATAATATATACTTATATATATATTATTAATATCTAAGAAAAACATGTATTATACAGTTATATATAAATATATGTAGTTGCATTAATTAGTCACTATTAGTCCATGTTCTATGATTCAAAGACTCGCTGAGCCACCGTTGATCCTTTCCCTTGATCTACGCCCTGAGGTTGCTGCTCCTTCGGCATCCCCAAGCCAAACGTCATGGTGAGCCTAGGAAGGCTATGGCCTCGTTATTTATAGGGCTAGGCTAAACCCCTCAAACATTCTGGGAAGAAATTGTAAGCCTGCTGATGTTATCTGATGTTCATTACTTGGAACTTATTGGGACTTTTGCATGGTTTTTTCCCAAAATGGTTCGGGGTTGGAGGTAAAGATCAAACACATCACACGACTCTCCTACACGAATGATCATGGCCGACATTTTGATGCAGACGAAAACGTGGCCAACAAATGCAAAAAGGAGTTGGCAGTCAATCAAGCCCCAGGCAAAACCATCATAGCCAGCAAGAAAGCAAACGCCTCAGGGAATGGAAGTGGAACCACTCAAAACATCTCAAAACAAACCAAGGGGATTCGGTCGCCCAAACATGGGTTACAAATGGTTATGGGCTCATGGAACCATATGTTTTCCATTCATGCATTTTGGGGGACCGATACTTTTGACATCTTTTGACCCAAACGGGTGCTATATCATTCTATGCCCAAACTTTTTATACAGGCCAAGGGGATTTAATGCCCGAAAGCAGTGTTGGTCAGCAAGACAGACCTGTCATGTCAGAGCGTACGGATACATCTGAACATGCCTCTGACATCTTCCATGCACTCTGCGGCAAAATGCCACTGTCATTCATCTGTGTATGAAATCCCCATGCACCACTGGGTCACTGGGTGTAGTCTTAGGGACACATTGGATACCAAAAAGGACCTGCAAATGCCTGGTCACTATCACCTATATCTTATAATGATAGCAATCATGTGTTAATAATCATATGTAATCTTAACAATTAGCAATAAAACAATAATAGTGACAATAAGTAATTAATAGTATATAATAAAGTCATAATCTCCTTTAGCCCCCAGAAGGTTTGTCAACATACTTGACAGGCCTTCAAGGATAGGTCACATAGAAGATGGTGGTACAGCGTGCATTGGCCAAACTGTGCTATCACCGTCTCCAAGCTAAACTGTGCTGCGTTGCCTCTTTGTTTGCTGTGCGCTGCTAGTCTTTGTGCGGTGAAACAAGGTCAGGGGCAAAGCACTGGGAACGCATCCAATAGGCCACTGCAAATCCCTCCCAGCGGACTGGTCTTCACAAACGTGACACATGAAGAACACAATTCTGATCAAATCAGTGAATGAAAACAGAAAACAGTCCGCAAGCGTCAAGCGGAGTGGCAGCCACTACCTTGGCCACCCTGAGGGCCCTAAAATCTGCGACACAATCTTCAGGAAAGGGTTATTGTCCTTGGAGTCCAGCAGGGGGGACTGGAAGAGGAATTTCTCGGTGTTTTCAAAGGGGGGACTGAGGCATAGTTGAAGGCGGCAGTACTTCAAACCAACTGGACTCTCCCTCTCTCTCTGTCTCACTGTGCTATTATATTTGCTTCTAACAGGGAGAGTAAAAACGTTGGTTTTTTCCATGTTTAAAATGATTTAAGCCGGCAGCCAGCAGCCATCAGCTTTACAGCAAAGGGTCTATCCTGCGTTGCATCTCAAACATTCGCATCTGGTGCCTCAACTGCGCTGACAGAGCTCTGGCCACTGGGCCAAAAGCAACCGGATCTGCGAAGGGCAAGACGTCAACATCAAAACTGAAAACTTTACGAAGGTTCATCGCAAATATCAGCAGGCGTAGTTGCTGCATGTTGCTGCCAAGAAACTGCGAGTTCGCATGGTAAATCCAGAGAGCAAAGCCAGCTATACCAAGTATGCAGACCTGGCGTCATTGGGCCCAATCTGCATCAGGCAAATTACAGCAGCCAGGATCAGGATGACAAAACACAAGCAAAAAGGTGGGCCTAGAGTCAGTTGCTCATGAATTGAGAAATAACTTTGAGATTGCTCGAGAAGCAGATTTAAAAAGTTTAAAAAAACAAACATGAGCATTGAGAAACTTCACCAAATGCAGCGGAAATGCTCGGTTCAATGGAGATGACCAGAAATCCGATAGGTCTTGTCCTAACCCGGGTGGCGCTGACTCTTGGGCGAACTGCAAAACGATTGACTACATGACTGCACTCCCTCATATAATCTCATACAGAAGCAAGGCACACAATGAACATCAAACAATCTGGGTGAATTACAATAACTAATAATAAATAATAACTATCAATAATTGCAGTACAGTAACTCACAAACAAAACGCAGAACAAAAAACATCTGCCGCATTGAAACATTGCTGCGCCGAGTGTCTTGAAAGTTGCCACAAATGCTGTGGTACCTTCTGCGGTGGAAGCTGTTCCCGTTCTGGCTGAGTCGAACTGACGCTGGAACTGTTCCTTGGCTCTTGCTGTATCTTGCTGTGGGCAGGCTGTGGGCTTGGCTTCTGGACCAAGACCCCAAACAAGTACCCAAGGTGCCACTTTTGAGTTGAGTAAAACATGGAGGGGAGCCCTTCAATGATGCAAATCCATTTCAACTAGCCCCCAGCTGCCCATGCGACACCTTAAACATCTTCCGGAGGCTCTGAATGATCAGCTGCACAGGTGGAGATGCAGCTTGTTGAGGAATGGAGGCTGCCACTGTCTCCACTTCACGGCGAAGAAAAGATCTCATGTCGCCATTCGCCACCGCCTCAGAAGGTTGCTGCTATCGTCAAAAATGGGAATTTGACCATTTTTAGCCGGTTTGTATATCCCCCATCTGCCACAAACGTATCGATAGCCGAGTGCATTCACATCCTATTAATCTACTCAAAACGCCTTTCCCAGATTTGGTCTGATGATGCTTGATGCTGCAGTTGATGGTGCCACCATGTGCTACCTGCATGGAAGAAGCCAACTTATCCCAGGGACTCTGGCATGACCTATGTAGTACAGTAAGCAGCGACTTGTACTGGCAAAGAGCTATGGCTGTTTATCGTATGTACTGACCATGCTTGAGAAGAAACTCGCAAAACCGTGCCAGATAGTGCAAACAACACGGGAAGTGCAATAGATAACCAATAATAACCATGCCATTTTTTACCATTCCGAAAGTGGGGCTCACAGTTTGTTACAGCCACCTTCATGTACCACTCTTGAAATTGGATGAAATGGCGTTGACTACTGGATTGGCCACATCCCCTGCTATCTCCTCATGTCAACTGAGGTTCTGGTGGAAATTCGTAATTTGGTTGTTCAGGCAGCGAGGACGTCAAGCCATTGGGCCCTGAGGGCATTGGTGCCAGCTGCGTTGACGGCGATGAGTTTAATGCGTTTCCCGGGCCCAAGAAGCCACGGAACATGGCAGCTGAGACAGAATGGCCAAAAGGGGTGAAGATGGTGAAGTATTTTGATCTGAAATGGCCAAGCCAAAAGCACTTCAGATTCTGCCCCTGCCACAAGTCCAAGCTGTGTGTATTTCTTGCGGTCCCAAAAGCTTATGTGACCTTCTGACCCAACTCAGATGACCCCAGTCAGGAGCCTGTTCCTAACGATGGCATGGCAATGTAACCCCTCCGGGACCCCTCCCCATCATTCCCTATCCAGTTCCTGGGATGATCCTCAAAGTGCTCCTGATGCAGCGCCATGTTTCTAAGGTCAAAGCACTCGGACCAAACCAAAGGAGTAGCGTCCCTGCGCTGATTCAAAGAGCAGATCGATGTCACAGTTTGAAGCATCGAGCGCTGGAGTGAAACTAAAAACACCATCTGAAACTAATATATCTAATATCTAAAAAAAACATATAAATTCCATATGCTCTTCACCCATCTGCCATCATCTGCCCTGGGCTCAACTGACACTCCAGGGCCGCTAAAACTGCAGCGTGCCAGCTGCGAGCCAAATCCTGGAGGCCCGCGTAGCATAGAGCCCAAGGCCTATGTGAGGGAATCCCCCAAAATATTGCCTTGTATGGCCATATATATGGCCTTGTAACACCTGAATGGCCCATTAAAAAAATGCCAGGTCGCGGAGTAGTGAGTATCACATTGATGGTCATCGGTACCGTACCTAGCTTTGAAACCATTGAACAAATGCGTCACGGCTGGGCCGCAATCATCAACTTCGCAAGTCAAACTGAGATGACAATCATGAGGCGTCGAAAACTCAACAGGGGCATCTCTTGACAACCTGAAGCCAAATAGTCAAGTCGTCCAAAATTCAGGCCGAGTGTTGGTAGACTCAGGCAGATCTTACAGGTGTGCGATACTGAAGCTACTGCTGCACATGCAGGAAGATGCTCAGAAACAGAAACAGAATGAAAAAAAAACAGACCATAATCCATCGTTTTAAGCTCTGGTTCACCAGTGCTGTATTACATTCTATTACGTTTCTTCGTTGACTTGCCACTGGTTCCAAAAAGAAATACGTACTTCCCACCTGTCCCGACCCTCAATTCCTCGGAGATCGATCATTGAAGCCGCCCGTGCCACGGCCACACAAACCACCAGTGAAGTACCTGAGACCATCTGAGATCATCTGAGACCATGGACAGATCACAAAGGCGCGATCTGTTGCTGGGTCATGCTGGGTCTCTACCAGTGCCCAATGAAATGATATGAAAGGTGTAGATGCGAGAAACCAGCGAACTAACATAACTATATTCTAGACCTAAACTAACATAAACTAACATAAACTAACATAAACTAGCATAAACTAACCAATTATATACATCCAATTACGGTCTGTCATGATGTTTTGACAGCTTCACAAATTCCCCCGTCGCAATGTCGCGCCCCACCGCTCAGCTATAAAAGGACAAGCAAAAAGTGACCCACGGGATCTCAGACTTCGGCGATCATCATTGTCCATCGCGGCCTCACACAAACTGCTTGAAAGATCGTGAGAAGCTAATCATCAAGGGTGATTGACAGTGATTGAGATTTGAGCTGGAATAATATGATAACATTGAATAAACAGTATCCAATTGCTGTAGCCAACTTTATGGGGTGGCTTTGAACACCTGAAAGCGAGCTCTGACACCAACAATATCAGTGCCGTGGCTGCGGTTGCGAATGCAGTGTTGTGAGGGAAATCAAGAACCAAATAAGAGCTCTCATGATTGTGGCTTTAGTACTTCTTGGGTTCTACACACATCAAGATCCCAATGGTATTTGACCAACGGATAAAACCCCAGAGACCCAAAAACATTCCTTAGAACAGTGATCCTGGAAGTTCGGATTCATGGTAAAGTGGGTAACTCCGAAAACAAGCAGTGCTTCTTGGCTCTAATATTTAATGGCCTGGCTCAGTCCTCAATTTACTCATTGGGCTATTGATCCAACCCCCACACCCTGGTTTTACATCGCTATGAAAAACCAATGGCAAACATCGGCAAACTGTGGGTATACAGCTTCATCCTGCCACCTCTCTTCTCCAAACCTGCAAGGTTCGGATCTGGAAGTCCTGGGCACAAATACCTCATAGCTAATCAATTTGTTATTTATTCCCTGAGTATCCCTGAGTGACTTTATACCTCAGCGATTACCCCTACTATGCAATGTCGATCCTTCAAGTACCAGCCATTGACTCCCTGCAATCCTTGCCGGGGCCCCTTGCTCCGAAGAACTTTCGCGCTGCCCATGGCGAAGTCGCCGACTGCCGGACCTGGCGAAGATGGCCATCGAAAGAAAGAGGGAAATTCGAAAAGTTGGAGAGACTGATACCAAAAATGACTAAAGTTTAGACAATGAAAGGATTGATACAAAAGCATACAACAAGCGGATTTTAATGTTTAATCCTAAAACTGAATAGATTTAGTTGGAATTAGTTGGAATTACCATGTGTTCAACAATTTCAACACTGAGAATGGATACTGGGACACTGGGACGCAGACCCATGTCTTGCCATCGGAGCTGCGCCAAACATCATCTCAGCACGCAAGTTGCCATGGTGAAAGGGTGTGGATGGGTAGGGAGCATTTGGAGGATATTTGTTTGCTGCATCTATTTATTATTTATAATATGTTATAACTAATTATACCTAGGACTCTCTAGACATCTAAACCCATTTGTGGTTTCCCTCCAGAAATCATTAGAAATCCTTTCTTTATATTGATTTACGTGATTTGCTCATTCACCGCAAGAAAATCAACAAAAGCACATGCCAAAAGGAAAAAAACTCAACCAACTGCGTCGGTTGATGACCACATCCAAATCCTCCCAATCTCAGGCTTTTCCGTGAATCCTCCTTAAACATCTGATTCCAATTTTTTCTGCGAGTGTTTTTGGCTGCAGGGACTCCCCCAGCGGTCACTGAGAACTGCACTTCGTGGGGAGAGCTGGTCACCCGTGCCACCTTCATCTCCACCGAGGACCAGCAACTCGCCGCTCCTGTAGCAGACCCCGCTGCATCCGAGGCGTGGTTGAGCCATGGTCGGTCATGGTTAGTCTACCCATCTTTTTTCCTTGAGTCATGTAACATGTCTAGGATATCCGCAGTCGTTTGGACTTGGCTGATCTTGGCTGCACATCCATACTGTCTTTTGGTGTGGAAACCCATCTGTTCCTCACAGAGCCAACCCATCAAAAACATAGAAATAAAGATCCCTATTTCAAAACCGGTCACTGCAGGACTTCTGCTGATGGCGTCTGATTCACCAAAAAACAACAACAGGTACCCATTGATCCTCTTGCTATCATGGGTTCACAAAGGGGAAGGAAAAGGACAAAATATGAAAACAACATAAAATACTACATACTGATACTGGTACGTATAATATAAAGATTGGACAGAAAAGATCTGATAAGATCTGCATGGGGTTTTGGTTCTGATGCCCCTGTACGGCACAATATGGATTAACATTGCACAATTCTGGCCCAAAGTTGTTGCAGTGAACACGACATGAGTCGTTAGCATTTTGACCCCGGTGGCGTCAAGTGCGATCTCCACTGTGCCTCGAGGTGGACCAGCTCTTGCCGATAGTTTCACAAAATCGGGTTTCAAGTCGTCGCACGTGAGTCCAAGTCGGATGCACAGTGGAGAAAAGTGAGCAATTATAATCAATAATAATCAAATTAATCATATAATAACATATAATCATATATAATATAATCATATAGAATCATATAGAATCATATGGAATCATACGTATATGTATGTATATATGTATCGAATATGTGTCGTGAAACATGCCTGCCGCATCCTCACTTCACACTCCATCAACTGCCTGACAAATTCTGGGAAGTGGTGAAGGAAAGGTCAGACCAAGCAACCGATCTGTGTATTATTGTTCATGTTGCACACGTGCCAAGCAGGATCAGTTTAAAACATTTGAAACCTGGTTTCGAAAAAAAGTTGGTTTAGTCATGGTTTACCCCCAATAAATTGGCAATTTGAATGGGGAAAATGATGTTCCAAGCCATCAATCCATTGTTGGGGCACCTGATTAACACTATTGGGAGATGACTGAGGCTGAGCCGTGGCTTGTGCAACATACCAGCGGCTAGTTATTGAACCAAATGACGTATAGCTAGGACAAAACTGGGGGTTGGTTCGGCTCAAAGTCATCTACCCCAAAATTGGATCAGTCATGTCAATGCGAACCATCAAAACGACTAAATGTGCTCCATTTCTTGCTGAATTGATTAAGGGAAATACGTTCCCATCCAATGACAGGTTTTCCCTACTCAAGGAACATCCCCATTGAATTTGGAGACCAACCATGTAGCTGACACCGACACCGCTGGATCCAGGGGCCTCCCGCTTCAGCTAAGAAGTTCCGCAGCTTGAAGGTCCAATACCTGGAACTTCACCACGCGTTTGCTGATCACTGGTTTCTTGTCCTTGGTGCAGCTGTAACCTATGGAGATACCCTACTAGCAATGTCATGGAAATATAATGGGCATATATCTGCCTTGTCCTTAGGATATGGTTTTAATATGTTTTAATGTTTATTATCATTACTCAATATATATGCACATATAGAAATATAATTGTATATATATATATATATATATATTTATTTATTTATTTACAATTAAACTATAATTCTACATACATACATACATACATACATACATACATGCATGCATGCATGCATACAGACAGACAGACAGACAGGCATTCAGGCATTCATACATTCATAGCATAAGATACCATACCATTGCATACATACCGTTTCATTGCATTACATTACATTACATTGCATTGCGTTGCATTACATTACATTACATTGCATTACATTACGTTACATTACATAACATTACATACATTGCATACAAAATTACATTACATACATACATACATTACATACATACATTGCAAACATTACATTGCAGACATTACATTACACACATTACCATACATACATTGCCATACATACATTACCATACATTACCGTTCATTACCATACATTGGCATACATTACCATACATTACCATACATTAGCATACATTACCATACATTACCGTACATACATACATACATAAATACATAAATACATATATACATACATACATGCATACATACATACATGCATACATACATATATACCTACATACATACCTACATACATACTGACATGACATGACATGACATTACATGACACCACATGACATTACATATACATTTGCATTTAATATACATTTACACACACATATATATAAATATATATGTACAGTATATATATGCGGGTGTGCAAAACTACTATAAACAAAATATCATGTGGGGTTGTCATGTCCCAACATGTGAACTCTACACTCATTTTATGGCATGTTTATGGGAACAAAAATGACCACAAATAACCCACAATGTTTGGCGTACAGAATGTGATTACACATGTTCTGGACAAAACACGATGTGGGCTGCCGACTGGACCCATACAATTTGAAAACAAATGCCTTTTTGGGGGGATACTTCGATGCGAGAAATGTTCTGCGCTATGTGCTCTGATCTGCCAAGCATCACCATACTGAAATGCTCCCCATGCCTTTACATACGGCATGTCCTTGTGCACGTCCATGGCGGCGGGTGATTCAAAAACCTGGCAAGCGCCAAGAAATGCGACAGGCTCAACGAGCTGGAAATCAAATGGGCATCAGCGACATCATCTGACATGATCGTTGAGAATTGATCTGATTAAGCCAATATGAACCCATAACAGTTGACATTATTTGACAAACAACACGATCAATCCATCTCCTTTCACCATTTTTGGGCCTCGTAGGAAACGAAAGTGTCAGCATTGGCCACAGCACGCATCATATCAAAACGCAAGCAGCCCACTTCACTTCTGGAACCCTCACAGTTCGCACCCATGACCTGAGTTGCCGGGAAAATTGCCATGTCTATGGCAGGGTTGATAGGAGAAAATGCACTACAGACTGGTGGGTGTTTGAGGATCATCTTCCTAAGTATGTATGGCTAAGAATCCAGAAGTAATTGGCACCGCCAAGTAACTTTAATAGTTCTATGCTCATATATCCGTTCGTATCTCAAGTTTGTTGGTTATATAAATCCGCAAACAAATTTTAAAAGAAATCGGTGCATGTATCACTTCCGGGCGGCTTCCAAGTACTCCTCGGTGCAACTCTCCTGTATATGTACTTCCAGCATCACGATGAGCGGGCTGCCCTTGGAAAGCACTGCATAAGGCACAAGTAGTGCGGCCAACCCAATATTATAAACCGTTCTCCAATTTAAAAACTATCCGTTCTAACAGTTGTTTTTTCATGGTTTTGCAATTTTCCCTCAGTTTTTCCCCACCTGCCAGGTGAGGGTTGTTAGATTTTATGTCAGTTGGCTGCTCCTCCTCTCCTCTTCTCCTCGTCGTCCTCCTCGTCGTCCTCCTCGTCGTCCTCCTCGTCGTCCTCCTCGTCCAACTGCGACCCGCGATCCACAGTGTTCTCTGTCGGACCTCAACCACGACCATCCACGCCCAGTGTTCCCTGCCGGACCTCAACCACGACCTCAACCACGACCATCCACGCCCAGTGTTCCCTGCCGGACCTCAACCACGACCATCACCGCCAGTGTTCCCTGCCGGGCCTCAACCGCGGGTATCCCCGCCCAGTGTTCCCTGCCGGACCTCAACCACGACCATCCACGCCCAGTGTTCCCTGCCGGACCTCAACCGCGAGTATCCACGCCAAGTGTTCCCTGCCGACCTCATGTAGGAAGATATGGGACAAAGAATGTGCAGAAGAAAGTTAGAAAGAATGTCAGAAAGAATGTCAGAAGATATGCCAGAAGATTTACCAGATAGAATGCCAGAAAATATGCCAGAAGATATGCCAGATAGATATGTCAGAAGATATGCCAGAAGATATGTCAGATAGAATGCCAGAAGATATGTCAGAATATATGCCAGAAGATATGCCAGATAGAATGCCAGAAGATTTGCCAGATAGAATGCCAGAAGATATGCCAGAAGATATGCAAAATCATATGCCAGAAGATATGCCAGATAGAATGCCAAATAGAATGTCAGAAGATATGTCAGATAGAATGCCAGAAGATTTGCCAGTAAGAAAATGTATAAATGTCATGGTGGGGATCACACGAAGTAAAGTAATTTATTTTTTGATTTTTTGGTCTATAGTAACGAGAAAAATGACACGCATTTTGCAACTGTTCTTTTCACAAAAAGTCAACGTTTTACTATACCTTCTAAAATTCTATAGTAAAATTGTCTAAGTGGTAGCCAGTCGGTATGCCCAATTGGGGCGAATTGCTTGGCAAAGAAGCCACTTGCGCGTGCCAATATATAATATGTTGTCGCGCGTTTGTCTTCCAGATGCCAAGCTCCGCAGTAAGAACCGCCCTACAAGACCTCCTGTCTCTCAACAAATTTTGCGGTTGTTTTCCCAACTGACCATCATTTACAGAGTGGTTGCGGTCAGGTCTCTATAGAATTTGTCCGAACAATATGCAATATGAGCATAGAACAAACGGACAAAAATTGGCCCAAAACACTTGTTTCTCCCGAATGTGTAGCAAGGGTTCCCGTTTCACTCTGGTTGAAGGTGTGTTCGCTCGACGTTGCGTTTACAACCGCAACCGTTCGCGGGCGGTCGTCTGAGGCCCGTATGGCCGTCCCTATGGCGAGTTCTGCAAAAAGTGATCACTTTATGGAGGTTTCCAATGCCACGTAGCCTCGTTTCGCGTGGCAGGCGTGGCACTTCGTGACAGACCAACATGTTTCATAATGTGTTGAAAATTGTTTGGTGTGGTAGGTGCGTCGTTTCAAGAAGATGAGTTGCAGTTTTAGTGGCAGGCGTAGCACTTTGGCGACCTCCATCGTGATTTCGTATGGCAGGCGCAGCACTCTAGACGTGTCGTGTTGCGTGCTTTTGCAAATCGCATTGTCAGGGCTGCGTCAAGTGGCGACAAGGTGCAAATTGCATGGCGGGCGTGGCATTTTGTGAGATGTGCTGAAAATTTACGGTAGCCTCGCACGAAAATTGATTTTGAGGTAACAAATTATCACGTTCATGAGAAAACCCGTGGGAAAACGTTGATTTTGAAGCTACAAAGTGTGAAAATTGGAGGAAGTCTCGCACGAAATGCTCGTTTTGAGGCTCCAACATGTCTCGTCTCGATTCTCTGGTTTTTTCTGCCATCGCCGTGTCTATAGGGGAAGCTGCCAAACCTGTCCTTGAAAGCTGGTTGTGATGTCCTTTTACTTCGCAGGCGTGGCGCTTCGTGACATTCTCATGTGTCTGCAAACGTGCCGAAAATCGTTTTGTGTGGCAGGCGCAATACTTTCGCGTCGATTTCAGAAGGTGAGTGGCAGTTTTCGTGGCAGGCGCAAGACTTTGCAGACCTCCATCATCAATTTACGTGGCAGGCGCATGCAGGCGCAGCACTTCAGACGTGTCGCGTTACGTACTCTACACTCCACCCTCTACACTCCACACTTTACACTCCACAGTTTACATTCCACACTTCACACTCTACACTTTACACTCTACACTTTACACTCCACACTCTACACTCCACACTTCACACCCTGCGCTTTACAATTTACAATTTGCACTTTACACTCCGCACTTTACACTTTAAACTCCACACTTCACACTTTACACTCCATCATACACACTTTACACTTTACACTCCGCACTCCACACTTTACACTTTACACTCCACACTTTACAATTTACAATTTGCACTTTACACTCTACACTCCACACTTTATACTTTACACTCCACACTCCACACTCTACACTTTACACTCCACACTTTACACTCCACACTCCACACTCTACACTCCACACTTCACACTTCACACTTTACACTCCACACTCAAAAATTACACTCCACACTTTACACTTTACACTTCACACTCCACACTCTACACTCCACACTCCACAATTTACACTCCACACGCCACACTTTAAACTTTACACTCCACACTTTACACTTTACACTCTACACTCCACACTTTACACTCCACACTTTGTACTCTACACTCCACATTTTACACTTTACACTCCACCCTCTACACTCCACACTCTACACACGACATTCCCCACTTCACACTGTAGACTCCACAATTTGCACTTAACACTTTACACTTCACACTCTACACTCCACGCTCCGCACTCTACACTCCACACTCCACACTTTACACTCTACACTCCACACTCTACACATTGCACTCCACACTTTACACTCCACACTCCACACTCTACACTTTACACTCCACACTTGACACTCCACACTCCACACTTTACACTCCCCACTTCACACTTTACACTTTACACTCCACACTTTACACTCCACACTTTACACTCAACCCTCTACACTCTACACTTTACACTCCACACTCTACACTCCACATTTTACACTTTACACTCCACACTCTACACTCCACACTTTACACTTTACACTCCATACTTTACGCTTTACTCTCCACACCTTAAACTTTACACTCAACCCTCTACACTCCACACTCTACACTCCACACTCCACACTTCACACTCAACACTTTGCACTTTACACTTTACACTCCACACTCCACACTCTACACTCCACAGTCCACACTTTACACACTACACTTTACACTCTACACTTTACACTCCACACTCCACACTTTACACTCCACACATCTCCACATCTCCACACTCTACACTCCACGCACCACACTCTACACTCCACACTTTACACTCCACACTTTGCACTCCACCCTCTTCCACATTCCACAGTCTACAGTGCACTGGTACGGTAACAGGGGAAACATGCACAAGAATGTTCAATTAACTTGTTTCACAAAAGTGTTCCACGTGACTGCATTCGGGTTCATGGGCTGCATCTTGTTTTTTAAACATCAACCAAACCATTGCAACACTGAGTCCCCAGAACCATCATACATACCCACACATTTGTTTATACATTGAAAATGAATATAGAGCCACCTTGCCATCCCCCGAAATGTGAAGCCTTTTGTCTTGAACCTTGAGCTGTTCCCACAGCCTGCCAACTGAGGCTTGCACGCCCGGGGCAGGGCTCGCTTTCTGGAAATTGACCACGTCCATTTCGGTTGCCTTTGTGGACACCTGGAGATGTGGATCAGCTGGTGAAATTGAACTTGACATATCTGGTGTTTGAGACGATAATTACCTATTGTGTAAATCGGTGCGTTATACATAGATAGATATAGATAGATAGATAGATAGATAGATAGATAGATAGGTAGATAGGTAGATAGGTAGATAGGTAGATAGGTAGATAGTTACATAGATTAGATTAGATTAGATTAGATTGGATTGGATTGGATTAGATTAGATTAGATTGGATTAGATTAGATTAGATTAGATAGATAGACAGACAGATAGATAGATAGATAGATAGATGGATGGATAGATAGATAGACTATAGAGAGAGAGAGGGAGACAGAGCGACACATATCTCACACACACACACATGTGTGTATGTATATATATATATGATTGTGTGTGTGCGTGTGTGTACGTGTGCGCGTGTGTGTACGTGTGCGCGTATGCTTGCGCGTGCAAATGTCCATAGATAGACAGACAGACAGACAGACAGATAGTGACATATAGAATCGATGTGCCTTGTATATATTAATATGTGTGGTATGTCTATATATCGTTTGTATCTATATTATATTATATGATATATTATAATCTATCATATAATTTAACGACCAACTCGTCCCAGCCACCAGAGGACTCTTGGAGCTGACAAAGTCGTCGAAGGCTTTGGCCTGGAATGCGATCATCGACCACGGAGACTTCACTTGGTCCATCTTCAGCACGGGAGATCATCCAAAATATTCCAAAATGGTCTTCAACGCAATAGAAATTGCAGGACAAAATTGACCAAAAATCGAAACATATCACAACTTATATATCCGAATCCAACATCTATATTATCTATATAACTCTATATATCAGCCAGGAATGTGGAGAAAAAAATAAGGAAAAAAAGATCCAAAATCATCCAAAGGTCTCCCATGGCCAGCCCACTGAGCTGGATGCGTATGGTGCTTCAGCATGACGAGCTGTAGCCGTTCTGGAGGCGAAAACCTGCCCAAGAGCTTTTCGATCCGGTGAAAAACTGGCGTGAAACATGGCTAGACACGACACAACCAATCTACCCTCAAGTCAATGGGAATTCCAGGATCCTAAAATGGAGGTACTGTACCATATAAGGCCATATTTTGGGGGTATATCCCCTTACATAGGCCTTACATAAGCCTTATATATGGTAGGTACCTCCAATTTAGGTTCCTGAAATGGCCATTGATCAAGTCAAAAACAATCGAAAACATAAGAAAATGATAGAAAATGAACTTGCATCAGAAAAGGATCCCAGTTCTCCCAAATGCGTCTACCTATGTTGCAGGGAAGTGTCGCAGCCCCTCACAAGTGAGTGATCCACACCATTCCACACCTCATAGGTCATGAATTTGCATTCATTTCCTTCCTCACCTTAGCATGGCACGTCATGGCCACCGGACAAGATCAAGATCTGCGACCGAAGCACGGAGCAGGTCGTAGCGCAAGCAACCTCCTTGTTCACGCGCACCTGCAAGACCGGTGCTCAAAAACGCTGTGCTGGTGTGCCATCATGTGCCATCCTTGTATTGCCGCCATCTATGCAATCTCAAACAGATTTCAAACAGAATGAAATATACTGCATCAATGGATGGGAGTTTTTTTCGCTCAAGCTGCCCTGTAAGGTTCAATAGTTCACTACCGCCACTGCAGTTGGACCTGCCTGTGGCTACGGCCGTCATGACCTCGCTGACTGTCTATGTGTGCCCCCATTTGAGGCAAAAGAATGCAACAGAGAAGCACCACATAGCGCGACTAGTTATTAGACCCAAGCTAACTTCCTCCAGAATATATCGGACGCATAAAAATCATATAAAATCATCTTAGGTTCGACATTTGCCTAAGTCTAGGGATCATCATGCAGTCCACTAAAGCACTGACTAAGCGCACAGCTTTGATAAACTCGTCCAAGAACTCCTTCTTCACCTCAACCTCCCACAAAAAAGAAAAGGCTGGATCAGACAGTGCAATGGCTCATGCCACCGCACTTCAGCCGCCATCGTCTTGACTGGACAACGACTGCGTCCACGACAAAATGCGCCAAAAGAAACTAATTCTCGATCAAAGTTCCGTCCAAATTCTTTGTTTCAACAGGAACTCCTGTGGTGTTAGGAGGGTGCTGCATGCGATTACTAATTTACTGGGCCCATTGGTACCCCATTCTTGGCCCGTGCTTATACAATACCCCAACCGAAACCCTGACCTCCCTCAGCGTTGCCACAGGTGGTACCCGCAGTAGGTGGAAGGAAAGTTGTGGGCAGGTGCCATTCGACATCCTGAGCCAAGAGTGGAGGCATTTTTTTCTGATGTGTCCCATCTTTGAAAATGGGATTTAAACAACTACTTTGTGATGATTCATATGGAATATGTCGGGGGGATGATGTAACTACAACATACTAAAACTTGACCAACTGTATCCCCAATCGATGGTTCTCTTAATGGGGAAAAGGATGATAAATTAAAGCATGGGAAATTGGGGTAATTACATGCAATTACCCTATTGCCGGACAAGGCCAGATAAATCCCGAGCTCCTCTTACCTGCGGTGTATATAGAACCAAGGGAAACTGTGCATGCTGAGATTCGTGTGGTCATGGTTTCCCGTGGGTGGTTTTACAGCTTTTACTCGACAATTTATGGAACATCATGAAACCAGTGTGCTAAACTGTGCTGGAACCCTCAACGTGTGACGCGTGGGTCAAAACTGAAGACCACCAAGAAATGGATAATAATAGTTACATGATGTTGGATGAACATCCCAAATGGTTCAAGTAGATTCTGGTCATGCTTTGTCACGTGCAACACACATATCCGGGCAAATAACTTCATTATGACGTTCCCATGGCAGAAATAACCATTTCTGGATGAAATCCTTACTGGCCATTTTGTGGGGGTCCTTATTGTGCAGTCGTACTACCCTCCGGCAAATAATCCCCTATAAATCTGCATTTCAATCGGAAAACCATCTATAAATTGGCAAGTGCCCATTGCTATCTTTGATTACTAGAGGGCAATCTGGACAAAGATCGATACGCCCAGTGGCTCAATGTAGTCGGTCCGGATGGCAGTGATCTTGCCTCAGAGCCCACCAGCAGAATCCAGCGTCATTTGGGGTCACAACATTATACATATCAATATATCATATTGTATCATAACTCATAATACTCACAACTGTCCACTAAATATAAAATATAACTGTTCTCTACTACCAACCATCCGATGTTGGCGCTCATTGCTGTTGACTCTACACGGCTCACCATGACAAGCATAGCAACCACCAACTTTGGTGGACATGAGGACACGACCAAACCTGGCGTACCCATGCTTACCTCTTCTCCCCATTTGTTTTCCACATTCAAAATGTGTCAAAATCACAACTTGGATGATGACTCAAATGTTATCAAATGTTGGTCCATCGATGCTTTTTACTAAGCATATTTTCCAGTAGCCATGGTTTGTCAATGACCAGATAACATTTGATAGCTTGGGGTTCCCCATGGGTTCCCCATCTCAGGACCCTGTTTGGGCTCCGCCGAGACGCCGATCCCATCCCGCTCCATGCGGGTTGCCACCTGCACGGCCACATCCAACGCACCGCCCAAAGCGGAGACCCTCAACTCGTTCACGGCCTCCTGCAGGGCATCCCCATGAGAGTGAAAACTTAGAAATAAAAAGCTTTGGCACGTCTAAGGCCCTGATATACTTGGTTACACGCAAATGCGTATTATACACGCACACACACACACACATATATATATATATAATTATATATATATATACATACGCTAGATTACGCTAGATATGAAGGTGCGAAATAGTGTTTAATGTTTAGTTGTTGCTTAGATCAATGCGATAAAACTTGGTTTGTGCGGTTGTGAAATACGCCAGCCCAAAACGTGCAGCTTATTAACCAACTTTCAGGAATAGATTTCCCCACATATACAGTATATGATTGTTCATGTGTATACATACCCTTTTGAAGTGTTAAACCGAGGGCAACAGGGAAGGCGCCATGCCTGACCACTACTAAAATAATGGCCTTGCTTCGAGTGCCGCGTAGAAATGTGGCCGCTGCTCGGACATAAAAGGATGCGGGCTTTTTCCTGAGGCCGGTCAAAGATGGGACAAAAGCTGGGAAATCCCCTGCAAATGGAGGTCTTAATGGTAAAATCATCTAGACATGGTGGCTTTTCCATGGCCCTGCTTGATTACGGGAGGGTTATAGGTAAATACCCCAGCAATTCCTAATGGGTAAATCACCTCCTTCACATTCTTCTGCCATCATGATTTAACACTTCCATTAGTGTCTATAAGAGTTGATTCAAGCAACTTGGTTTCACCATGTTTCAACTATATTGAATGGCTTTCAAACTGCCTCGTTTCTATACTTAGCAACAGCCACTTTGCACATTCGCCAAGCAACGCTGTGACTTTAAGCTCTGTCATGATTTCGATTTCCGACATGGCTGGAACAAGTTGTGATATTCAACCAACCCCCCAAGGTAACGCCCCAAGAATAGATGGTTAACACGCCATGATTAGTGGTTCTTGGTGGGTTAAACTCCGATGATATTAAGTTGTGATATGCAACATCACGCTACTCAACGGTCTAATCCCCTAACAAATGCCCAAAGCGCGGTGTCATGGTGCGGGTAGAATCCTTGCCATTCCTGAAAGTGCAAACGGCTTGCTGTGCGATGCAGCTGTAGTTGCCATTGTTGAGAGCCAAAGGCTTCGGTGGGGTGAATCTTTCTGGTAGGGTGCAGCATTACATTCTGAAATGTGACTGGTTTGAGAGAGTGGAAAACAAAAAAACTCCAAGTCAAGACATGTATGACTATGCATGATTCGTTCCATGCCAAACCATGCAAGTAGGGTTCTTGTCACCAGCGCACCTTCAGAAGTTCTCCAACCTTCAAGTCCACCATCTCTACGTGTCTTTGTCACCTTCTTTCACAACAGTTGTCAAAAAATTGGGTAGCCCAAAATCCAATAATTTACATTTATATATATATATCAAAAAAAATAATCATAACCTATCAATCTATCATCATTTCTTCGCGTAACAATTTCTAATTTCTGGAAGTACTTGGCCCCACTTCCAGCTCCTGCTGCACAGCACTGCATGGCCGTGCCGAGGTCCGGCAATTTCCACCAGGCGCTGCCATTCAGTGAAGATGGAGAACATCGGAGAACATCAAAAACCAGATGTCAATCCTGAGATTTTGGGGAGATACCCTCTGGTAAACTAACATGGCTATTGAAAATGGCCATAGAAATAGTAAGTTTCCCCATTAAAAATTGTGATTTTCCATTGCTATGTTAGTTTACCAGAGGGTATTGGGGATATAATGAGATAGGAACATCATGACATGGAAATATGATGATCTATTAACATGAGCACTAACCTGAAGTAAAGGATAGCTACGCCTACTATATAACCAGGTAACCAGCATTGCAGTGGCGTCACGACGTGAGGTCGTTACAATCTATCCAAAATATGGACAATTAGGTAATTACATGTAAGTACAGTACATGTAATTACTGTTGATACCGTGCGTAGTATGAATCATATGAACATATTATAACATCAATAATCTAATCAATAATGACCCACAACAGTCGTCCCCCAAGAAAAGAGAACCGGCGCCTTCCCGGTTTCCAGACCATACGTCTCCAAAGTTCTGCTCGCCGTTGCAGCCTGACAGGAAGCAGCACCAGGAGGATGCAAACTTTGTTCACCAGTTCGCCACCCTGATATACATGTATATAGATAATTTATAGATAATGATGTGTGTATTGATTCATGTTGTTGATCTAGCAAATCCGTATGTATGCATGTGTGTTCGAATGTCTGTATTCGTGTCCGTGCCTCTGTCTGTCTGTATGTCCGTATGTATATCGATATCTGTATGTAGGTATCTAGGTATGTAGATAGGTATGTATGTATGTATGTATGTATGTATGTATGTATGTATGTATGTATGTATGTATGTATGTATGTATGTATGTATGTATGTATGTATGTATGTATGTATGTATGTATGTATGTATGTATGTCAGTGTGTAGGTATGTATGTCAGTATGAAGGTCGGTATGTATGTATGATGTATGTAGGTATGTAAGGAGGCAGGTAGGTATGTATGTATATGATTGTATATGTACGTATGCATCCATCGTACCACTACCCAATATATATATATACAATTATATACATGCAAGCAGCACAGCAGAAGCAGAAGAAGTAAAAGAACAGAAAAGCAAAAGCAGAAAAAACGAAAAGCAGAAAAGCAGAAAGGCAGAAGCGAAGGAACATAGACGCAAAAGCACAAAAGCAGAAAAACAAAAAGCAGAAATGGAAAAGCAGAGAGCGGAAGAAGCAGAAAAGCAGAAAGGCAGAGAAGCAAAGAAGCAGGGAAACAGAAAGTAAAAAAAACGGTAAAATAGCCCCTTACATTTATGCATAATAATGTTTATTTCTATATTCACGTATATATATATACAATTACAAATAAATAAATATCTATATATAATATATAATATCCCCCTCTTTCTCTCTCCCCCCCTCTCTCTCCCCCTCTCTCTCTCTCTCTCTCTCTCTCCCTCCCTCTCTCTCTCTCTCTCTCCCCCCCTCCCTCTCTCTCTCTCTCTCTCTCTCTCTTGGAAAGTTACCTAACCACATGAAACCTGTCGGCCATCCTTATTGAAAGTTTCAACATCACGAGATCTCCCACACCATTTAGGTATGTCTGAACACATGGCCCCTCAAAATCCAATAGTTGTTCATCAGCTGTTCCACATTAAAATCGCTTAAAGTATGGGGAATATCCCAACTTCTGGATAAAGCTGTTTAACCCCGCTTCCTATGCTTCTAGGAATCTAGGTGAACTCCGTCGTAGCAACTGAAACAAATTGATAGCAACAGCCACTGGGGTCATGGCGGTGGATCTCAAAACAGCACCAAAATGGGCCTCAGCTCTGCAGGCGGTTTTCCCCGTGTCTGATTGTCTTGATTGTTGGGGGCCTGAGACTATCCATATATACGCGTAATTGGGTCAAATTCAAATGTTCAACATTTATAGACTATAGACATTGAATATGCATATAAATAAAGGCACGCATTTATGTGAGCATCATTGATAAAATACAGGGATTGAATCCTCATAAAAATATATAAAGATCACAGAAATGGCGAAAACATTGGCATCTTTTCTCCCTCCTTCAGACGCGTTGGCTCGAAGTCTTCGCGGCACGGCTCGAAATCGGCAACAAAATCTCCCATTTGGGGAATGAGCTGCTTACATCATGGATTTTCAAACATCACCATGGGTGGTTGTAGGATGTTTCTCATAGAGAATCTTATTGGTGTTAGGATTCCCGAATGGCTAGTCGACTAGGTGTTTGGGACATTTCACCACCCCGCGATTTCTTCATACCACACCTAACGCACCTGACACAATGAGTTCCAATGGAATCAGTGGTCAGACCTCCGATCAGGTCAAGTCAGGGGGGTCGAAATCACGCACGTCACGTACCTCAGTGGTTTCAGAACAAAAACTCCGAGATCGATGGTGGGCCCATCCATGTCATCCATGCCTCCATGAAGAGGAATGCAACTGGAATGATTTTTCAAAACCTGAACGTCAAGTAACTGGACCACACTGGTTCTATTTTTCTCCAGGCTAAACAGTCGGGCCCCTGGTCGAAATCAAAGACCCTCCTCTAACGTTCTGCAACAAGATGCAACAAGCAGCTGTTCGACAAGCCACATTCTCAAGGGGCATGTCCATGTCCCGCACATCTCCTGGGCACTGTTCCAGGTGGAGACTGGGTTGCTCTCAGTGAGCCTTCTCAAACACATTTATCTGCAAGAGCAAATTAACAAATACCGCGTAACAGCTGAAAAGTGATTCTCCTCTGCCAAAAAGATTCATTCGAAATAGCAACCCATGTGCATCACATAATAAATCATAATTATAATAGTTATAATCTAGGACAACCAGTTGTTTACTGTTTACTGGCAGCCAGTCAAACATTGTCGAACCTGGCGATGGCTTGTTGGGAGCACCCCCTGCGGCCAAGCCACTTGCGCTGCTTCTTTGGAGCTGATTTTCCTCAGCTTATCGACCCAAAAGGTCCACTGGTTGCGTTGGAGATAAAGCTATAGGGTGGCAAGCAAGCAGCGTGTTTGGCATAAAATCGGCTTATAGGGGCAATGATGGGAAAAGGTTATAGGATCAGAACACATTAGAACCCGGGTCTGACGGTGAAAATGGTTTCCTCCAGCTTCTCCCTGAGATCAAGCCGGTCCTGTTCACATGATATCACTAGTCGTAAAGGCCCTGAAGATGTCTATGTGTTCGGTACAAACTGCCCGTGAAATCGTCCCAAACAAGGCGCCACATGATGTGACATGTAAGCTCATCCACGCGTGGTGCGTGTAGAAGCAGAACTGGTGAAGTGCTCATTTTCCACGTGCCACCAAAAAGTCCCACATACATCCAATAATCATCCATGTATGTGAATCACATGTCTGCATTCGCGCACTTATGGCTTCATATGTGCAAGCCGTGCACGTGCAAGACTCGAGTGAGAGACTCTCTCTCTCTCTCTCTCCCTCTCTCTCTGTATATATATATACATATGTATATACCAATGCCCACATGGATTCGCAAAAGAGCGAAAATAAATAATCATGGCAATGATGATGGTTGATTTGTATAGATGTACATACTGTACATAAAAACATTAAAAACGTCCTCAACCTACTTATCACCCATGCTTCAAAGGATCTTGAAGCCTGTTCGCTTCATGTACATCTGCGGCAGCTTCCATCTGCTCCTCCCTGCGACGGCCGTGATTTTTTTTATGACCGCAGAACCCACAGATTTGTTTGCTTTCAATGACGCATGCCATGATATGCCATGCCATCTTCACAATTTTTGACTTGGCCTGGATTTGTCTGTACATGTTTGCGAATACATACCTATACATATTCGATTATAACTCGTATACTCCAGCTTCTCCCTGGGATCAAGCCGGTCCTGTTCACATGATATCACTAGTCGTAAAGGCCCTGAAGATGTCTATGTGTTCGGTACAAACTGCCCGTGAAATCGTCCCAAACAAGGCGCCACATGATGTGACATGTAAGCTCATCCACGCGTGGTGCGTGTAGAAGCAGATCTGGTGAAGTGCTCATTTTCCACGTGCCACCAAAAAGTCCCACATACATCCAATAATCATCCATGTATGTGAATCACATGTCTGCATTCGCGCACTTATGGCTTCATATGTGCAAGCCGTGCACGTGCCAGACTCGAGTGAGAGACTCACTCTCTCTCTCTCTCTCTCTCTCTCTCTCTGCGTATATATATATATATATATGTATACATATGTATGTCCAATGCGCACATGGATTCGCAAAAGAGCGAAAATAAATAATCATGATGATGGTTGATTTGTATAGATGTACATACTGTACATAAAAACATTGAAAACGTCCTCAACCTACTTATCAGCCATGCTTCAAAGGATCTTGAAGCCTGTTCGCTTCATGTACATCTGCGGCAGCTTCCATCTGCTCCTCCCTGCGACGGCCGTGATTTTTTTTATGACCGCAGAACCCACAGATTTGTTTGCTTTCAATGACGCATGCCATGATATGCCATGCCATCTTCACAATTTTTGACTTGGCCTGGATTTGTCTGTACATGTTTGCGAATACATACCTATACATATTCGATTATAACTCGTATACTCCAGCTTCTCCCTGAGATCAAGCCGGTCCTGTTCACATGATATCACTAGTCGTAAAGGCCCTGAAGATGTCTATGTGTTCGGTACAAACTGCCCGTGAAATCGTCCCAAACAAGGCGCCACATGATGTGACATGTAAGCTCATACACGTGTGGTGCGTGTAGAAGCAGAACTGGTGAAGTGCTCATTTTCCACGTGCCACCAAAAAGTCCCACATACATCCAATAATCATCCATGTATGTGAATCACATGTCTGCATTCGCGCACTTATGGCTTCATATGTGCAAGCCGTGCACGTGCCAGACTCGAGTGAGAGACTCACTCTCTCTCTCTCTCTCTCTCTCTCTCTGCGTATATATATATATATGTATACATATGTATGTCCAATGCGCACATGGATTCGCAAAAGAGCGAAAATAAATAATCATGATGATGGTTGATTTGTATAGATGTACATACTGTACATAAAAACATTAAAAACGTCCTCAACCTACTTATCACCCATGCTTCAAAGGATCTTGGAGCCTGTTCGCTTCATGTACATCTGCGGCAGCTTCCATCTGCTCCTTCCTGCGACGGCCGTGATTTTTTTTTATGACCGCAGAACCCACAGATTTGCTTGCTTTCAATGACGCATGCCATGATATGCCATGCCATCTTCACAATTTTTGACTTGGTCTGGATTTGTCTGCACATGTTTGCAAATACATACCTATACATATTTGATCATAACCCGTATATGACTACATAATATATTTTTCTATGTGTGATTTTACGGGCATATTCATATATCACATCAAGGCAGTACAGCTGCTACACAAATGGCTGCACAGCATCATCCCTGCATCCGCCTGTCAGGTGCAGGTGCGCTTGGATCCTCCCCATGCACATGGCCTGAGATCAGACTCCACACTTCAGCCGCACAACCAGTGGATATCTGCTATCTCACACAACCCCCCAAAGGAAACAAACATTGCATCTATTTGCCTACATGTATATGAGAACCAATAAGCTTGACTTTAGCAAGGTCGCACTCAGACCATCAAATTCTAAGCACGGCTGACCAAGTTGTTTAAGGAGAATGTGGGTATGGGGTCGCCAAGGGGTTCCAGAAAAGAGGATCCATACCAACCAGCATCAAAATCTGTGGTGTGCTGCATCGTTAATTGACCCAGGCCGTTGCACCTTAACCTAGGTAAGTATGGGCACAAGCCCTATTATCCTACTGATCGCATCCCAAAATGAACAGAGCAGACTACGATGGAATGGCAACGTAAAAGCATAAACCATCATAAACTCCACTTATGGATACTCATGGCTTATCAACATATATCAACCATTTACAAACTTTCATGCAAATGGCACATCCAAAATGACTTGGTCAACTTTCACCCAACTGTGAGCCGAGCAATGCCCTGAGGCTGCGGTCGCTGCTGTCCCGTCAGCTGCGACTTCCGCAGTCTCAGGCTGTGAAGCTCTGCTCACGTCCTCTGGGAACCCCACGTCGCGCAGGGGGAAAAAAAAGATCTCCAAGTTGCGGGTTTAATTTCTGACTGGTGAATAGTGAGTTACAGGAACTGGGATAGTAGACCAACAGCTGCTGATTTATGTCTTCGTGTGGCAAACCCAAAGCCTTAAGCCATCCTACCCATTTACCCAATGTTACCAGACATGTTCATAGCTCGGCTTTGGGCTTCATTACCTTACTATCAATAGAAAGAGGATACCGGGATAGTCTACCAGGAATATAATGATACAGCGGGCCTGATAGTTGCGTGTACCCCCCCAAAATGTTGTGCATCGAGCGGGCTAATAAAGTTTACTTGATGGTGTTATGCGGTATTCCTCTGAGGAAATGCTCCTATGACAGGGGAAGTCCGCATAGCTGAATTTCCCAAACAAGACCCCTAAATACAAGCACGGCTTCCCTCCTGAAAAACCATCAAACTCTGGATTTGGGTCCCCAACTTGCACAAAAAACATCAAAAAACACCAATTCCTGGTCGATTGGGGGTCACCCTATTGGAGGGGGAAGAAAATTGAAGCCACTAGGCAAAATACGTTGGATCATGTTGAATCCCCATGGTCGGCGTAGCATCCCCTCTAATTAGAATTTTAGTCCACCAAATATGGATTTGTCAAACATGTACCACTTTATACATAGCTATATGAACGGAAAAAGTGATGATGGATGATGATGGTACTTTGGGATTGGGGCATGCCGGCCGGTATAATCCAGTTTTTTGCAAAACAATATCTGCGTCTGCAACCATCAAACCGATTCTGCCCATTCCCTGCCTCTGCCTTCTCCTTATGACGGGAGCGGCTTCGACTCTGCCTGCGGGATTGTGACTCAAGGCTTGTTGCTTGGCTTCCCTCCCCCGATACTTGGGTCTGGAATATGACGTTCGGGATCTGGAAAACCTACCAGGATGTTAGACACATCATTCTCAAACTTTTTTTGTTGATGCCTACCAAGCCCATATTATATATATATATATTAATATGTAAGTGTGCATCTGTCCACCCTGTGTACCAGCAATCCAAGAGGTTCTGCTCCAACTGCAAGGGCTACGGAGGAAGGAATCAACACCAGCAAGAGCCCCGAGCATTCCCGAGCAGTTGCAGCAGGCTACAGGCTACAGGGAAGAGACCCCTCAGTGTCAGCCCCAGGCCTTGGAGGATCCGGCTGTGTGCCTGAAGCAGCTCAAACCAGCATCAAGCGTTGATCAAGAAACACACTTTCGCAGTATGCATATATTGTATCCTTGCCTAAATGTATTATATATATATATAATACAATATACAATAACCGCATGACCGCATGCATGTATACATGTAGACAGAAAAAAAATGTGCACAAGTACAATATATTCAATTTTTAGCGGATCATTCTTCTGTTTACCGCTGTGCTGGTCTTGGCTGAGTGCGAATCCCAGGGCCCCTGACCACGTTCTGGTGCCCGACCATTGGACGAAACCCTCTGCAACGCATCTGCAAAGCTTCCTTCCATGGGCCTCCCACTGCACCAAGGATCACCAAGGGTCACCAAGGATCACCAAGGTGCAAAGGTAAGAATTTTGAGAAGGACGTTCCCCGAATGATCGTGAATTAGTCTGAATGATTTTTCAAGGGATAAAGAAGCTCACTGATATGCAAAACACCGTCAGAAACACCTGTGAGACAGGAGCCTTCACCAAGTCAAGCCTATATTTTTCCAGATGCCACTTTCATCCACTTAAACATTCAAGTTTCATATCGCTTCACACCATCGATGCTCGAGACTCCAGTGCTCCAAGGCTCCGACGGCCTTACATTTGCACCGGCCTGACCAGGTTGTTGCGTTAATGAGCTGCAATTGCAGGCAATTATATAACATCAGTTAACCGCATTCCTGTTATGTGCATCTGGTATCATCAGGTATCATCTGGTCACTAAATTTACCCTCGGTACATCTCACCATCGGAATCCAAATAGTCAACTCGCTCCGCCACTTCAACTTCCACGGCCCATCTCTCAAAGCCTTTTATCTCCACCCGCACTTTGTCGGTGCCAGAAATTAAGCCCAGGCCATGGAGTCCATGGTCTGACCTCTCCACGTGTGGCAGGCAGTTCCGACGTTGCACCATGGCTGGAGCATGGCAGCTTCGTGGCAGCTTTCGTACACGCATGCGCTGGCCCTCGCAAGTGGATGAGCCTCACCAGGATTTCACTCCAATGCTGTGTGGATTAACCTCCTTCTCGGGAAGATTATCGATTTGGGCCGGTGGGGCACCACCAGCAAATCATAACGTGATTTACCTATATATTGGTTGTGGTAAGTGTAGGGGTGTCCTTCTGTCTATTCATCAGCCAACAAATCGGAAAAGGATACGTGTATCATACAAACCCTTTGTTACCCTCTTCATTTGATAGGTTCTTTGCAAAATGCAAACTGCAATATCTACAACTAAAAAACATATAGAAATCTAAAACCCACTATATAAATTCCACCGTGGAAATCTGAATTCCACTAAATTCCACAGAATATGTCTATCATTTTCCTTGTGCTGCTGCTCTTCCATAACTTCCCTGCTGCTGTCCACTCTTCCCAATCTGGACCCTCCTGTTGATTGATTCAACATGATTCAACAAACTCTTGCATTGTTGATGGACTACCCGGCTACCCCCATAACATCTCACTCTTGCAAATGAAAACTCATAAGCTACATCGAATCATTAATGCGAGGTTTCTTTGCATTTCTCTATAGGTTTTCCTGGTGGCCTCACTCCCCCTACGCAACACTAAACAAACCAACTAGACGACGGATGGCCCGAGAGCGTAGAGGAGCAGAGTCTTCTGTTGTTAGTATGGAGACACCATATTACAAGACAATATATTAAAGATGTATTTTAGGCAGACGAGAAGAATAGTTTCAAGACAATATATCACAAACACAAGACAAGACCATAGTTTGCATCGTAAATTTCGTATAGTTTTTCACACACAGAACCTTTTACAAACAAATACTTTTACACACAGGGACTTTTACACACAGACGCTTTTACACAGGGACGCTTTTACACACGGACGCTTTTACACACAGAGGCGTTTACACACAAACACTTTCACACACAGAAACTTTTACACACAGAGACTTTTACACACAAACGCTTTTACACACAGCCGCTTTTGCACACAGATGCTTTTACACACCGGTTTTTTTTACACACACACACACACTTTCACACACAGAGGCTTTGACACACAGACGCTTTTACACAGAAGCTTTTACACACAGACGCTTTTATACAGAAGCTTTTACACACAGAAGCTTTTACACACAGACACTTTTACACAGAAGCTTTTACACAGAGACACTTTTACACACACACACACTTTGACACACAGAGGCTTTTACACACAGAAGCTTTCACACACAGAAGCTTTTACAGACAGAAGCTTTCGCACACAGAAGCTTTTACACACAAACACTTTCACACACACACAGAGACCGAACCCATGACATCGCAATTTTACCTCAATTTTTGGCGATCGAACCTCATTTCGTACGAAAGGGTTTGCCGTACGCTTTGCAAATCGCAATTTTACCGCAGTTTTTGGCGATCCAACCTCATTTCGTGCGAAAGGGTTGCAAATCGCAATTTTACCTCAGTTTTTCGGCGATCGAACCTCATTTCGTGCGAAAGGGTTGCGCCGGATCCGGATCCACACTTTGCAAATCGCAATTTTACTTCAGTTTTTGGTGATCGAACCTCATTTCGTGCGAAAGGGTTGCGCCGGACACTTACAAATCGCAATTTTACTTCAATTTTTGGCGATCGAACCTCATTTCGTGCGAAAGCGTTGCGACCGGAACCCGGAAAACGCAATGTTATTTCAATTTTTGGCGATCGAACATCATTTCGCGCGAAAAGGTTGCATTTCGTGGCGTCTCGTTGGCACTGCCCCGCGCCGTCAAGAGAGAAATAGAAAAGAAGGAGGGAGCAAGAGGGCAAGAGAGCAAGAGAGAATGTGAGGATGTGAAGATGGGAAGATGTGAAGATGCACACATGTGAAGATGTGAGGATGTGAAGATGAGAAGATGGGAAGATATGTGAAGATGAGAAGATGTGAAGATGAGAAGATGTGAAGATGAGAAGATGTTTCACAGACCCCCACTATTAGAAGAACTCTGCGCTCAGATGCTCTCGGGGAAAAAGAACTAACAACACAAAACAAAAAAAAAAAACATATTCCTTGCCTGGTGGATTATTGAGATCAAAATAGGCCTTCTGAACAGAACTCTGCCTCTGCCCAATTCAGGGCCAAGTTCACCCCAGGGGATCCCCAGGCGATCACCAAATCAGTGCATGTCTTCACTTGGCCACCCACGACAAAACTTGCATCATATGAAACATCTAAGACTTTCCTGCAAAAAAAAACAAAAAATTGGCCAAAGAAGGTATCAAATGAAGACCCGTACAGAGGGTTTTTAAGACTATACTATATATATATATATATATATATATATGGCATAATTCTGGATCTGGATCTAGTGCATTCCCTAAACCTATTCTTCATTGCTAGGTGCTGCTTGGAGCTCATATGAGTATGCTGCTAATGTATGCTAATGTCACAAAGTGGTTCCCATGCTCGATTAAGAAATAGCGATGTTGAAACACTTTGGCTGGATATTTTTCCTAACTGAGCTATGGCCCGCAAACAAGTATTGAAATAACCTTAGCAATCTCCAAAACATCACCACGGATCCGCATTTTACATAGCCATGGAGCATGAAGACCAAGAACTCCAGTCGACATGTCGCACGTCGGCTCGCTGTGGGTGATGTGCTGGCAGCTGAGAGCTCCAAGGAATAATACTGCAGAGCACACTGCGAAGAAAACGACTCCACGGAAGATAGCCACCTGCACTTTTGAAACATAGATGCGTTTATGCGCGTTTTTCATCATTTTCTTTTTTTGTTTGTGTTTTTGTGTGCGTGTACCATCTGAATAGATGTAAAAACTTCTTATTACTGCAGGGGGCCGCTGGGGAACATTGCAGTCAGCGGCCAACGAAGACGCTGCAATGTTCCTGTGAAAACGTGCCTGCATTATATATATATATACTAGGTCCTGGTGAGTTAGGATTTAGCTGTTCCAGACAGTTAGGTTCTCCCTGGGGCGGGCTCCTAACTCTTGTGCTGCCGGGGCTCAAGTTATATTTTTTTAATGGTTCCAGCAGAGATGTGATGGCACAGGTTGAAACCCTTGTTTCTTTCACTCGGCATAAACAGGCTGGCAGCACAGATCGCAAAGCCGGCGCTGTGGCCGCGTAAAGTTGAACCAAATGGTTCATGAGTATGCACTGTATACACACACACACACACGAGATGGGATTACCATGAATTCAACCCAAATCTAAATCCCAGCTCATGTGACATGTCGCGTGCTCAAAAGGCCTCAGAGAACTACATGAGACGGGACTCAACAACCAATTTTTACTCATCTATTTCCTAACTCATACAGTATCTCATTTTCAGCTATTCTCAGGACGCACCAGTGCTGCGATAGCCACTTGAGTTAGGAGTTACCCTGGCAACTCCTATCTCACAGAGGGACACTGCTCAAAACATACAAAATTTAATACTGGTTTTCATGCTTTTTTTAATGCACTAAAACCCCTCCTGAGTTAGGACTTACATACATTTTTTCGAGCCAAAATCCAAAAACAATTTTCACATGAGTTAGGAAATTCAATTTTCTGGTTTGTCCGCAGAGGCCTAACTCATCCCAACCTAGTATATATGAATAAATAATAATAATAATAATAATAATATATATATATATGTGAATATATATATATATATAAAATATATAATATATATATAATATATATATATATGTATGTATGTATAGTCCCACCCTGGGCGCCTATAAGTCGCAAATGAGGGGGAACATATATTTTGTCGCTGCTGTTTTATACGGTCAACGTCTACTGTGAATATAGAATTTTTTAAATAGGTCATCTCATCGTGTTAGTTGTCGTTGGTGTTTTGATGTGTTTTGCACGTCAGATGTAATCCACAACAAAATTCGCAACGACAGTTCTGAGCAAGTGTGTGACTCATGCTGGATTCGTCAAGGTGGCATGAACCCTTCGGGGAATACCTTTCTAGGTAGGAACTTTGATCCTCCGACTTGATCTCTGAATTTACATTTTTCAACCTGGTAATTCGTTTAAGGAAAGTGAAACAGACGGCCTTTTTTCATGGTCTCTGTCGATCGTTAGGATGTTGAACAGCTGCCCGCCGTGCTAGGGACTCACCCTTTTCTTGAACTCCAGGGGACGGTAGACGTCAGCCGCGACAACCTCCTTTTTCCAGTGATGCCCGAGAGACTGCTCAGCTTTTGTCGCAATTTGCAACATGGAGGATGTTACAGGCAGGTACATACCTTCCAGGTGTGGTCACTTTCTTTTTGGTTGATCTGGTACGGCACGGTTGTGCATTAATTCAAGGGTTGAACACGTCAGCCGTCTATGGGGTTTGACTCGGCTACCGAGGGCCTTTGAGCCTTATCACGATACACTAGCTGTTGGATGCATCATTTTGCATTAAACTAGTCCCCCATTGGTCCCCTATCTCATGCGTGCTTCCGTGTTCGGTCAGGTTGGGGTCCTTCGCGTGCCGACGTAAGTTTGGCTCTCGCCTTGTAGGTTGTGTCAGACGCTTCCGTCCGCCCCCCCTCCTCTGGTCGGTTTTTGGCCCGCCGTCCGTTTGCTTTTTCTTTTCCCTTGCCCTTCCAGGTTCGCCCGTTTTGGGCGAGGTGTGTGGCGTTGGTGTTTCCTCCTTTTTTCCTTTCTTTTGCGTTCCCCGTCTCGTGTCCCGGTTTGGTAAGGTGTCATCTCATGTTCATGGTCATTTCATCTTCATGTCCATTTCACCCACCCTGCTGCGGCAGGGTGTGTGTGTGTGTGCCATCTAAATAGATGTAAAACTTATTACTGCAGGGGGCCGCTGGGGAACATTGCAGTCAGCGGCCAAAGAAGACGCTGCAATGTTCCTGTGAAAACGTGCCTGCATTATATAATATGTATAGTCCCGCCCCTGGGCGCATATAAGTCGCAGCTGGGGGGGACATATATTTTATCACTGTTGTTTTATACGGTCAACGTCTACTGTGATTATATACAGTATATATATATATTTATATATATTTATATAAGTCATCTCATCGTGTTAGTTGTTGTTGGTGTTTTGCACGTCAGATGTATTCCACAACAAAATTCGCAACGACAGTTCTCAGCAAGTGTGTATTAGGCAAGCTCTGTGTCGTGGAAGGGACAAAGGCGGGGCACCTTGAGCAATTTGCAAACAGGAAGGGATTTGCTAGAAACAAAGCTGGTTGTGTGGGTGCGGGACCTGAGGCTCCAAAACTTGTTAAGCGACCCTTTGAAAATTTCCATTTTTCACCAAGGCAAAACTTCGCTGGCTGCATCCGGCTGCATCCGGCTGCATCCGGCTGCATCAGCATCTCAACCCGTTGCATCAAATTTTCTTCGGGTCGGACCTGCGCCTGTTCGTCACTCAGCCAGGATGCCACTGTCGCAGGTGAGGCCTGGCGGCCTTTGGAAATGTCCAGCAGGGGCTCCATCTCCGAAAGCGAACATTCCTCCCAAGGCAACGAGAAGGACGAATCGCTGAGGGCTGGGGAGAGATCGCAGCATGGACCCTTCACAAAGAAATACAAACAAACGATCACACACATCTATCTATCTAATTATCTATCTACCTATCTATCCATCTACCTATGTACCTAATTATCTACCCATCTATCTATCCACCATCCATCCATCCACCCATCCACCCATCCACCCATCTATCGATCCGTCCGTCCATCTATCTATACATCCATCCATGCATCTATCTATCCATCCAGTCATCCAATCATCTATATATATATATAATATATATATAATATGGTATGACTATGACTACTGGCTGCTGGTATGGACTTTTTGGCTGAGCCAAAGAGGTGTGGCTTGGCTCTTGGTAAGGGCGTTGGACACCGGAGGTAGGAAACAAAGTGTTCTGGTGCTACAACTTGAGGGACCCAAAGGACACAAAATCAATCCAGAAGGATCCATCTTGTAGGAATAGCAAAAGCCCTAAGAGTCAATCTTCGAACATGTTGCGCTAACAAAATGCATGGTCAGCTCTGCACAATCCGAAATAATCTATCAAAATAAAGCTGAAAGGAAGAGAAGGTGCGCGTCTGAAAGCCCATCAAAATAAGGATCGAAATCTTCTTTGGATTTCCGTCCTCAGCGCGCAAGGAGGCTTGACAGCCTGCACTCACGCACACCTAAAGATTTCCTATGGAAGTCGATGGTATCTCTGACTTCAGAGCTGAATGTCGGATGATGTCGGATGCCTATTTTGCTAGCGGGAAGCATAGGAAGCAAAAAAAAATGCAACTTGGAAAAACCGAATCAAAAGGATCCCAAAAATATATATTCCATGCAATTCCCAGCTTCCCCATTTCAACATCGTATCCAAGAATGGTTTCTTCCTCTGGCCTCTCCTCTGGCTTTTGGCCTTCATTCAAGCTGTCCATCGGGAGGCCTCCATCATCCTGCGCATACTGCCATGTCTCATCACAAACAAGCCAGAAACCCAGAGATCTGCCAAGGGACCCGGCTTCCTACAGCCAGCGTATTCATATTCTTAATCACCATGGATCTGAGTAGATCATAGCAGATTCTAGATCATAGATCTTCTAAAAGGATTCGAACGTCTCCGAAGTTTGTCTCATGTCATTGTTTTGGACCCCTGCCATCCCCTGCCTCTATGTACTTTGGCCTTCCATCCTGCTGGAAACTGACGTCATCCACAGGGCCAGCTGACGCAGAAGCGCTGTTCAGGTGTCTGGCAGCGTGCATCGGGATGCCAAACCGTAGGGGGCCATGTAAATTATGGATGTACAGGGCAGAAATCAACGAAATTCGTGAAATTGATTCAAATTGCAGGATTTCCCATTGACATCAATTGACCTTATCTGCCTTGTCTTTTGGAGCTTTTGGAGGATGTGATGATGTGAAGCTATAGAGCCAGCAGCTTTGCAGGACATGCGCTTCCCCAAGAAAGGCCAAAAGATGCTTCAATAAAGGTCAATCTTTGGGGGGTTGATAAAGCGCATGTGAGTATTGATGAATCATGACCCCCTGCCTCTCGCTTTGAGGCAGGTCGTGCAGATCCTCCGATAGGTCTGTGCCATCACTGCTCAGGGAATCCTCAGAGAACGAATCCTCTGAGTGACGCTCGGGGCTCACCATTGCTGAGTTCCTGCATGGTTGCCTGCCCCTACACCAGCCATAGCAGTGCCGGACCAAGGAAACGAAGGATCCCGAAAACTTGTCAACCATCCTGCGCCATCACAAATATATCATAAGGATCCTTAAAATCACGTAATTGAAATGAGATTGTTGTCACGAGCTGCGTCTACCATGTCCGACCGATTGCAAGCGTAGGCCAACCAAACACGGGTACAACGCCCAAACAATCCCTTGCACAAACTATGCCATTCGAGTCGTGCCGAGTTGTCTAGCCATGTCTAATCTATACCGGACATCAACGCCAGAGCCAGGGCAGCGGAGTGATGTCCTCTCCAGTCTGACTTCTGTTGGATCCAGTTTCACTACCGGCCCAGCAGCACCTTGCCTGGGGCTGAATGCCGGCTGCAGGCGGAGCTGCGGCATCACTTTGCCTGGAGGACTGGTGACTGGTGAAGCTCTAAGTTCCGGGTCGTGGCAGTTTGTTGATTAAAATACTGTAATGGTAAGCACTTTCCAGAACCTAATGAGAACAGTCGTAATATATAATGACAATAAAAAACAATAAATATGTAATGTTTTGTCATGTTTTATCAATATTACAAATCGCCATTATTTAGCACCATTGCTCATGACAAACATCTACAAATTGCCTTTCACTGTTCACGCATCATCACAGCAGTTTTAGTTTTTTCCCCCTCTCTCTCTCTCTCTCTCTTTCCATCGCCATCTCCAGCAACAGTTATTGGAACCAGCAATCATTTCCTGGCCAGTCAGAACCAGTGGCTAGGGGAGAAGAATTTTGCAGCACTCCGCAGCATCCAGCGCTCAAAGTTACCCATTCATTTCATTATATTATATGATTATCAATGTATTTGCATGTGCATGAATCTATGTAGTAGAATCTATACTACAAATTACTACAATATATTATAATCTTTGTGCCTACCCTTCAGATTCAGCAGCATTTACACCAGCACAATCAACGCCACAGAGCCTCGGGGGGCCTCGTTCACGGACCTACACGGTCAACGTGTCCAATGCCAAGCAGGATCGAAATCATGGATGTTTGAGTCAGTGAGCCAAATGTTTTAGATGGGGAAGAATCTGGAAGAATAACATATTTGATTTCTAATTAATTAGTGGCCAATGATGTGCGGCGTTCACTTTTGCTGTAAGCAGGGTAGACTTGGCAAGGATCTGCAGGGCAACTGTCATGGTTTTTCTGCAGGCTACTGGCCCAGTCTAGTGATTCTGCACCGTGCACCTGCAGACCTTTTCCAACTCTGCGGCGGAGAAGTCGAAAACTCGGATGTGAAGATGGTTCAAAATTCCTACCTTCAGCGGTCAATAGAAAATGAAAGACTTGGCTTTGAAAGTTTGAAACTTGCACGGTTCGGTGCCAGAGCCATTTTTTGTTACCAACCAATCTCACTAGCTTGTTGATGTTTGGTACCCAAATTTTGAACCAAGGCCAACAGGACTCCATCAAGCCCGCCATCTGGGACTCACAGCGCTGGCAGCAACGCTTTTGCCGCTGCTGCAAGTGGTGCACCTCTAACCTTTCTGGTAACCTTAGCCTTGGCCAATAGCTGCACATGACTCTGTCTGAAAACATGATGCAGCACTCCAAAATCTCATCCATATATATATATATATATATATATCCATATATATATATATACGTGTGTGTGTGTGCGTGTGTAATTATATATATATATATGTGTGTGTGTGCGTGATATATATATATATATATTTTTATTATATATCATATATTAGATATCGACTAGAGATATACGCCCCATGTCCGGACACCCTTTTTGCGCGGTTGCCGGTGTTCGATGTCACGTGGCTTTGGTTTTTTTCACCGCTTGGATCACTTCCTGCGAGGCTCCGAAGAATCGAAGCGCATGGGGCGCTGTTAGCGCCATCTGGGCCATGATGCCTCGTGGGGAAGGGAAGCCCAGAAACTGGACCTGAAAACATCAAAAACTGTCATCTTATTATACTTGTTGACTTGTTGACTTGTTGATGGTAATTGGATGTAATTGGTAGCTATCAAAAATTTGGGCCAGATAATTTCCAATCTATGATGTAACCAGCCTGAGAAATTCATTGAAATTTACTCCCTACAAAACGAATGTCATGCAGCTGTTTCTGCCCAGCTGCTGTACTTGATGATTCGGCCTACCAAAATTGCCAGGAGAATGGCGAAGTCGCTCATCTTTGACAGCTTTCCAAAGAAAATCAGCGGGTGAAGGATGATGGGCATGGCCTTAAAACCCGACACCACACGCCATATGTCATGGTCAAAAAATGCTATATGTGTTGCGGTCATGCAATGTTGGCGATTATAGATCCCTATCCACCCATCAGGTCTATGATCCAACTTTTCACCACGGCAATTTTGGGCCTGACCCACATGAGCCGTGTACCAGCAAGTCATCATAGGAAACCCATAAAAAGCCACGACTGCAAAGATCCCCAAAGTCAGAAAAGAATGCCAGGCCATCACCACAGCAACCAAATGGAATAGAGGTCTTGATGGTTTTCTTGAATTTTCAGATTTCTTTGCTGTGGAGGGGTGATGGTGGTGGTTGTGCTATGTTGTGCTATCATATTCATCACCGCAACAATCCGAACAAAGATCCCAGTGGCAGACACCGGTACGGCCGCCAACGAGCCGTAGGATTGCATCATTCCTTCAGTCCACGACCACCATTTGCTTGTGAAGGTGGCCTTGGTTCCGTCAGACCTCTCCGATCATGAATGGCAAACATATTCAAATGCAGCAAACAGAATACTCAGAATACTTTATATATATATATATATATATACATATGTGTGTGATGCTATATTCACGTCGCTTCGCGACGGCAACCGCCCGCACCGCATCGTTGGGCAGCCGCTCGTAACTGCCAATGATGTCGGCCATTGAGACCAAAATCATCCGAAAGTACCGATTGTCGGAAAAAAAAAAACGCGAAGAATTTGATAGCCATGTATAGCGGACCAACACAGTTCAAAAAATAACGAAAAACATGAAAAAACGGCGAAATTGCTGTTATTTACAGTGTTTTTGCGCGGTGAGAAGCAGAAACCACTGCAAATACCATGGTTTTTGAGGGTCAGGTGGCCAAAAACACTGTAATTTACAGTGTTTTTTTTACCAACGTCAAAAAACACTGGTATTTACGATGTTTTCATTCACACCGTAACATAAAACAGCGTAATTTACGAGGTTTTTGGAAGTTTTGAAGCTAGCCATCAAGCATGCAGAAAACAGAAAAACACTGTAAAAACCAGTGTTTCTGCTATCACAAAACGACGAAAATCAGTCCGAAAACGGGTCCAAAAACTCAAAAATCCGCCTCCGGGCCTGGCCACCTGCGGAACCGCAAAAAAAGATGTTGCAAACCAAAAAGTTGAGGTCAAAAAGTTGAAAAACACGGGTTTTTTTCACTTTTCGCTTGCCGATTTTGGACGGGCGCGTTCACGAACAGGTGTCTTCCGTACTGTTTTTTACAGTGTTTTTTGAAGGCGAGCGTCACGACCTATCAAAAACAGGAGGTTTTGGACGAAAAATGCCCCCCCCCCCAGGTAAACCTGTAACCTTTTTACGAGTGCCATCCGGAAGATCACGCCCCAGCACCTTCGGTGCGGGCGGATTTTGCTACTGTAACTTATGATGCCGTTCTCTACACAAATCTGCCCGCACCGAAGGTGCTGGGGCGTGATCGTCCGGATGGCACTCGTAAAAGGTTACAGGTTTACCTTGGGGGGGGGGGGGGCTTTTTTGGCCAAAACCTCCTGTTTTTGATAGGTCGTGACGCTCGCCTTCAAAAAACACTGTAAAAAACAGTACGGAAGACACCTGTTCGTGAACGCGCCCGTCCAAAATCGGCAAGCGAAAAGTGAAAAACCCCCGTGTTTTTCAACTTTTTGACCTCAATTTTTTGGTTTGCAACATCTTTTTTTGCGGTTCCGCAGGTGGCCTGGCCCGGAGGCGGATTTTTGAGTTTTTGGACCCGTTTTCGGACTGATTTTCGTCCTTTTGTGATAGCAGAAACACTGGTTTTTACAGTGTTTTTCTGTTTTCTGCATGACGGCTAGCTTCAAAACTTCCAAAAACCTCGTAAATTACGCTGTTTTATGTTACGGTGTGACTGAAAACATCGTAAATACCAGTGTTTTTTGACGTTGGTTAAAAAAACACTGTAAATTACAGTGTTTTTGGCCACCTGACCCTCAAAAACCATGGTATTTGCAGTGGTTTCTGCTTCTCACCGCACAAAAACATTGTAAATAACAGCAATTTCGCCGTTTTTTTCATGTTTTTCGTTATTTTTTGAACTGCGTTGGTCCGCTATACATGGCTATCAAATTCTTCGCGTTTTTTTCCGACAATCAGTACTTTCGGATGTTTTTGGTCTCAATGGCCGACATCATTGGCAGTTACGAGCGGTCGCGAAGGTGTGAGAACAACATCGTTCAAACTGTGGCGGCCGCACAGGGGTTCTTGTCGCGGAGCGACGGCAATCGAAGAGAACAATGGCAGTAGAAGAGAACAATGGCTGACATCATTAACAGTGTGGACCGTTCACTCGATATGTACATATATGATCTTTAAATATATAGATATATCTCTCTATCTATCGGTCTGTCTTTCTCTATCTATTTTGGTTGGCCGACATCTTTGCCAGTGTGGAGCGTCCAGACAACAAAAGCCTACATCTTGCAAATATGATACTTATAAAGCTTTCAAATTTATTGCTTGGTGCAAGGCAGCACCACACAACCTCAGGTTCAGTTCTTTTTTTTGCTCTGGCCGCTCACGGACGGAAAGTTCGCAAACCTGCCGTCCCAGGATCCACACCAGGCAAAAAAAAAACAGTATCGCCTCTATACTCTATGTCCGTTTTGTTGTTTGGGTTTCTATGAAATCAGGTTTGTCGTTGGAAAGCTAGATCAATGGCTTACTTCTATGGGTACCATCAACTTTTGGACATCCCATAGATTTTCATGAAGCCATTGGTAGGATAGTATCAGTGAACTGGGGTAATACTATAGAACCCAAAATGTTCATACTATAGTAACCCATTACCAGCAAACTATAGGTTCTATAAGTTCTATAGTGTGATTCCCTTAGTGAACACCGGGCTTTCTTTTCTGTACTCAGATTGGTTCAAACCATCTTCGTATCCAAACTATCCATTGGTTGGAAGGTTTCATATCTATACCAACCTTAGTAATCATATCTTTGTTGGGTCGTTCGACCCACCGCTGGTCGTCCTTGGAAAAGCTATCCTCTTTCAGGCCACTGAAGAAGGCCTGGCCATGAGGAGTTTCCATGGCTAGGTCTGGCTCAAAAGGTCTTGGACAAGTGCTGTAAAATGCTGGCAAATACTCGAACATATAACATTTGTGGAAATTTGTGGGAATGGGGATATTTTCTGCGATAAAATTGCAGGTGTCCAACGTCATGGGGCGATATTCGCCCCAAATCTTCCATTAGACCAGGACTTAGTATTGAAAACGCCCATGGTGACGACTGGGGATCCCTCATGACTTGGTAACCCATCACTCAACAACGCTCTTCGCGCCTCAACTCCTCCGCTCCACTTTCCGCTCCGCCCCTGAATCATGCCCCTGCTGTGTGAGCCCAACGATGCGGTGCGGGCGGTTGCCGTCGCGAAGCGACGTGAATATCCTCCGATTCTGTCAGCATCCAAGTGGCTGGGAAGGATTCCTTGATGAAGTCCATTCCCCTCTCTTCCATGAGGATGATCAAAACTAAGCATCCCAGCACTGTGCCGACCGCGTTGGCCACTGCAGTGTAGAGCCATCCTAAGGCTCTGCGAAACGGAGTGAGGATTTTCCGACAACAATGAACATGGACTCAATCCAACGGTCTCTTCCAAGGTAGTTTTTCGGCTGCATGTACTTGTTCTCCCGAGATCCAAACCCATTGCCAAGCACACAAAACATGTTTATAATCCCGTACATATAGATAATACATGTATAAACTTAAATATACATATATATATATGTGTGTGTGTGTACCTAATTATACAAACATACTTACATACACACACATATATTATATGTATGTATATATATATATATTGCCAATGACCTCCAAGAGTCTATTGGGATTTGCCAGCACAGCAGAGCAGTAGAGGATCACTAAGGGTGCCGACATCACCAGTAAGAAGAGGTTGGCACCTGACAGCAGGCCCACCAGCACTGGAAACCATGGCGCTGCCGCGAAGGCCTTCAGCTTCACCAGGCCATCTTTCAAGGCCATGTTGGGGCTCCCAGCGGCTGGGCTGTTTCCGATCCTATCAGAGCCAAAAGGCCTGTTCCAAAGAGATGCGAGTTCCTTGGAGGTGGCAACAGATTAAAACATCTGCGCGATCCTGCACGGTGCGAGTGTTTGTTAGATTTTGTTAGCGCCACAATGCCACACCTGAAAACTCATTCTGAAAATAGGATCCCCTGAAATTCGATGGGCGACGATGCTGTACCCCATTGAAATGACCGTTTCATCCAGCATCCTCAGCGCTTATGCCCTGCCCCATGGGTCGGTAGCCTTTCTCACATTGGCTAAGGGAGCTCCTGACAAATAAGAGATGGGAATCCTATCTCTGATATGGGGGAAGACCGTCAGAATGAATACCCTCTGATAATCAACATGGCAATGGAAAATCCGCCAATTGTCGATGATTTTCCCATTCAAATGCCAATATCGTGGATTTCGCAATTGCCAGGGTAAACCGGAGGGCAAAAACAATTACACTGAAATACTGCTGACAACATCTCTCTAGCGTGACTTTCCATCAGTTTGTCCAACTTCTGCGTATGATGCAGGTAAAACCCGCAAAACCCGCACCCAACGTCCAATGTGCTCCATTTCTCGTAACTCCGGTAGCCCCCTTGTCCTCCACAGCTATGGAAGATACTTTCGACTTCAAAGAAATCGACCCATATCGACCCCTTTTCCAGTTCGAATGGTCACTTTCCCCCACCCTCACTCCTCGCTTGATGTCAAGGTCGCAGGTACGTTTGGCCCAGGATAATCTCATCACCTGTGCATTCATCAGTTTTTCTTGGAAGAGATCAATGCAGTTTACTACAGTACCCAAGTTGTGGACATATCATGGCATATCCATACAGTACATGATCTGAAAGGGGATGGTCTCAGACTTGCTTGGCAAATTTTCCCTAAAAAAATGCGGAGAACATGTGTTACTGTTAATTTACATGTATAGTGTAAGCTCGTGTGTAGATATCCCATCTCTCCAACCCCTAGCCCTGCAGAATGATGGGAGGCAGCTGTCCGATTCACCTTGGCTTGGACCCAGGACCTCGGCAGCTCTCAAGATGAATCCCCCCTTGAAGCATCAGACTTGAAGCATCAAGAAGCCTCTAAATCAAGCAAAAACAAGCAAGTTGATATACTTTCGGAATCTTTCGGACATCTTAGGACTCAATAGTCCTATGTATTCCTTAGGTGGTGGGCAGTAACTTCTAGCTTCAGCCGCGGCATGTTTTATGCAAGACACTTGGAGGTCGCTGACCAGTACTCCACGGTGTCTCCCACAGCAAAGCGACTGAGCCGTAGCCGACCCGCCGGCAGCATGCGAAGAATGTGGCCCTTGCTCTCCTCGGGTGCCACGGGGAGCGGCAAGTCAGCTGCTGGGATATCCTTCGTGGATGAGGAAACAATAATTTGGCACAGGAAAAAAAAAGGATTGGAACAGTTAACCGTTAATGCTAGACTTAGACAAAATGATGCCTTACACCAGGAATTTAGTCTAGAACGTTTCCGTAGCTATCAAGAGTGACAAGTGAGCACACGTTCGCATCTATATATACATATATATATATATATACTGACCTGTTTTTATGATAGTTGAAAAGGTGGTACTGAATGTATAGGCATCGTTGAACAGATCACCCACCAGTATTCGCTACTGGTACGAATCGAGGCATTCTTGAAACGATCACTACAGGACTACAGGTGAATGGAGTACCCCTAGGACACTCTCTAACATTCTGCAGGAAACTAGTTGAATAGTTGATACTGCCGGAGACGGGAGGTAAGCCCAACTAACACCCAATGGAATTAGCACAAGTTGAAGATTGTCAAAAAAGGAAGACAAACAAAGCCCCAGTAGCTGCAGACAAATTACACTACTTTTCGTTGCATGATAGTGGGACACTGCCCCAGATGAATGGAGCCCAAAGTTTAAATGAATGGGATGGTTGAAAATTGAAATGCTTTGGAAGGTCTTTTGAACTCCCTTGTCAACGCTTTTTGTGGAGACCCAGCCAGTGAGAAAAAAACACACACTAGATGAAGCTACCAGTAGCGACTGCGCTTGTGGAGTCTTGGCGTCGCTGGACCACCCTAAATCGAGCGTTCTAACAGGGAGCGACCGTCACTCCCTGTTAGAACACTCACTACCGGTAGCGACTGCACTTGTGGAGTTTTGGAGTCGCTGGACCACCCTAAATCTTGCGTTCTTCTCAGTACAACCCCAGCGAAAACACAAGATGATCCTTGGGTCGATGATTCCGGTGGCACCCTTAGAACACTCACTACCGGTAGCGAGCGTTCTAGTGGAGTTTTTCCGTCGCTGGGGCACCATCAATCTTGCGTTCTTCTCACTAAGACCCCGGCGAAAACACAAGATCATCCCTGGGTCGATGTTTCCCAACCCTCCCTTAGAACACTCACTACCGGTAGCGAGCGTTCTAACAGGGAGCGACCGTCACTCCCTGTTAGAACACTATTTATCTTAATAGCACCATTTTTTTATACATTTTGAATCCCCAAATCACTACCGGTAGTGAGCGTTCTAAGGGCTCCCCATTGACAGAATTCCCAATTCACTACCGGTAGCGAGCGTTCTAAGGGCTCCCCATTGACAAAATTCCCAATTCACTACCGGTAGCGAGCGTTCTAAGGGTTCCCAATTCACTACCGGTAGCGAGCGTTCTAAGGGTTTCCAATTAAGGGTTTCCAATTCACTACCGGTAGCGAGCGTTCTAAGGGTTCCCACTTCACTACCGCTAGCGAGCGTTCTAAGGGTTCCCAATTCACTATTGGTAGCGAGCGTTCTAAGAGTTCCCAATTCACGACCGGTAGCGAGCGTTCTAAGGGTTTCCATTCACTACCGGTAGCGAGCGTTCTAAGGATTCTCAATTCACTATCGGTAGCGCGTGTTTTAAGGGACCCAATTCACTGCCGCTAGCGAGCGTTCTAAGATGTTCTAAGGGTGCCCAATTCAGACCAGTAGTGAATGTTGGTGGAGTAACCGTGGTGTCCAAAGATGCAAATATACAGTACCACCTTTTCAACTATCATAAAAGCAGGACAGTATATATATATCATTCTATATCTATTATATCCATATCCATATGAATCCCTATCCATACCATATCCATATCCATATCCATATATCCATATATCCATATATCCACCCATCCATTCATCCATCCATCTATCTATCTGTATGTATATTTAAATATAAATATATGTATATAATATATATATATATATACAAACACACACACACACACATATATATATATGCATATATATATATGTGTGTATATATATATATACACATATGTGCATATATATATATATGTGTGTGTGTGTATGTATGTGTCTGTGCACAGTAATATATCTAGGCGTTAGCATGAATTGAACCTCAAAAATAGCACGGCCCTGTAGCGAACGATCGCTCAAGCTGCTTCAGATCCCCCTTGCTCTCACAGCTGGAACCAAGGTGCCACGTCGAAAACGATGGTTCTCCCGTGCCTGGCGCAATTGTTCAGCAGCCGCAAATCAATATATATAATATAATATAGAGAATAGATAGATATATATAATATAATATAAAATAATATAATATAATATAGATTTATAATATATATATACATAATTATGTATTTAATATTGTATATATATATATTATAAATCTATATTATATTATATTATATTATATTAAATATATATATCTATCTATCTATTCTCTATATTATATTATATATATTATATAATATAGATTTATATATATATATCATATTCATATTATATTATATATATTATATATATGATATATTTATATATTAATATATATATATATATATTATTATATATACACATCATAATGGGTCAAAACTCCAGTACCCTGGTGCACACAAAAATAGCTGGTAAATGATGGTTTCTCCTCCCAAAATATGGTGTCGTGCCATGTTCTGATCTATCACCATATATCCAAGACTGTGTCGTGCCATGCACTCAAGAAATCTCAAGAAAGTATCAAAGTAAAAATTCATGTGGAATACGGTTACTAAAACCAAACAGCCCTATAGATACACACACTTATTGCCAGGAACAGCCACCAGAAGCGATGGTTACTTGCCGGCCAAGTTGCTGATATCTCCGAGTTACCTTAGCAGGCCGGGGGGAAGAAGCTTTGAGGATTGGCAATGGTATTAAGATGTATTAAGTGGGTGCTCACTATTTTGCTAAAGCATCCACAATCATCATCATCATCATCATCATCATCATCCGAGTGTCGATGCCCTCGCTCCAACGCTTCTCTTGCTGGTTGAAACACTGCACGGGCATTCCCACAGCAAAGCCACCTGGAGATGCGGATGTGGAGCTGGACAAATGTGCCCTCCAAATTCACTGTTTCTGTTGCTAAGGTTTAATCTTAAAAAGGTCAATTTGTTCAGTAGTACCCAACTTATTTTTCTGATTGGTGGTGCTTTCAGCCCATCACTAAAATCCTGCTGTTTGGGGAAAACCCGAACTGTTGGCACCGTAAACTCCTATTTGTTAAACATCCAGGTTGTGCCTCAACCACAGATAAAAATTCACCCAGGGATATCTGAAAAATTGCGCCTCAAAATCCAAGAGCTTATCATCATTTCCCTACTCCTTGGCTATTACAAGTTGGGTAAATCCAACGAATCCAATCCCCGTGAAAATGGTTCAAAGCTCCATATCCATTTGCTGGTTAAATCCCCAGTCCCCCGATTTGAAAAGCGTTTTTTGCTGGCTACATGCACTGATGTGCTGCTGGTTTTATAACCCCTTGATCCCAGATGTTTGATGGTTTCACTGATGTGCTGCTAAATATGGCAAAGTTTTGTTGGTGAACCATTTTCACCCCTGTTGATCATGATATCCCCATGAAACCGGATATCTACCCACATGTTAGAATATCTTAGATGGTTAAAGTATATCAAAGTATCAAATCCAGGGCACTCCTAGGGAAAGTGCCTTAAACATCTTGAAACGGACGGGGCCGGAGGGCCGGGGCTGCGCTGCCTCCAGCATTCTCCGAGACGTCGGGGGGAGTATCCCGCGGCTCTTCGATGCGCCGCATCTGCCAAGCCCTAGGATTGCTGGAGCTGAGGCAATTCAGGCTGTACCCCAAACTGTTTCCATAGTAATATCACTCATATCAGTGATATCAATATCATTCAATATCCATAGTGCTGATTGCTGCATTGCTGCTGTGGCCATGACAAGTCTGGAAAACTTCAGATTCCGATTGCATATTCAACAAAATGAAGTGCCAAGTTTAATGGAAAGAAGGGCCATTCCCGATTTCCCAAACATGCAGAAAGGGCTGAACGGACAGCAATCCCATCCCCAAACCAGTTGAAACACGGAACCCCTTAAAATCACAAAACAAATCTGGAGCCCATGATGCCATGATCCAATCTGTTGCTGCCGAGTCGCTCCACCTTTGACTTGCACTCCAGGTTGTAGGTCAAGGTCACACCAGCTGAGACGGGGAGAGATCAGTTGCACCACGGAAATCCATCATGATCCATTGACAACTGCATTTGTATAGTAAATGTATGATGTTCTTGAAGATCTACGAAAAATTCAAAGGCAAAATGATGGATGATCCGTGGGTTGATGTATGGTATTTACATGGTAATTACAATTAAAACTTAAAACAATATCATACAGTCATACATGTATATAGATGAAAACATGGGTGGTAGATATACAATGGTATTTACATATGGTAGCTGAGCTGGCTGGGAACAACAAGCGTTACCAATAAAAAAATATATACATTGGTTACAGTAACTCAGTATATCCCTTCTGATTGTGTTGAAATCCCCTTCTCTTACTAGCAGCTAGCAACACTCCTGAAATTGTTCAACCACCAATTCCCTTTTGATTGCGTTGGCGCTGCTAACCTTAGACATCCTGCCCTGCTAAAAATCGAGTTTGCTAGCTGCTCGGCCTCCTTGGTTGTTGATATTGGATATGGGTTTGTCCAAGAATGGGGGCATCCACATGTTTAGGCCCTTTTCATATCCAAAATCATGTTCAACACAATCGGATTGGATGCATGTGGTCTTGTACAGCCGACATTTGGCTCAGGTAGGTGTTCCAACTACCTGGATTTCATTGGTTTTCCAATAATTCTCCACAAATCCAGTCATGTCCTGATTAATCCCCATAATCAATTGATTAAACTCCCATTTTGGCTGCGTCTTCCAGAGGTTGCCTGCGTCCTTGTTCAAGGACAGGACATTGGTTTTGATCCAGCTTCGATGAGTTGTACCTCAGTTTTTTCAAAAGCAACTGGGCTGCTATATATATATATATATATATGGGTGTGTGTGTGTGTGACATGTTGCTACCTCCATGACACCAGCAAATACATATAAATAAACTATTCAATATGTACATGCAGTATGTATATATATATATGTGTGTGTGTGTGTGGGCGTGTGTGTGTGCAAATCTATAACTATATGTATCTATATATATATATTATGTGTTTGTGTGTGTGTGTTCATATGTATATATAAGAATATATAAGCATACATGAATCATACATATATATATATATTCGTACACATTTATTTATTTTTTCTTCTTAAAAAAAAGTTTTATTAACACATCAACTGTATAGATTATAGATTATACTATATGTTCAGGTTAAACATGTACGTGTATCTGTGTGCGTGTGATATTGCAAAAACCACTGGTTCCCACTCCCTCAAAACAAACCTGTTCCATGAAACCTAGAATATTAACAAAGAAAACACGGGACAAACTAGATTGGTGGCCCAGTTTCTGTTCATTCCTGGATTCTGTGATGGAGTAGTGTGGAGTTTGTTTTGATGTGAAATTTGGATGCTTCAAAAAACAGGTGTACTGCGCTATTTATTTATTTCTGATGCAAATACTACAGTCTTTAAAAAGAACTTTGTCTAGAAAACATGTACGTAACTGTGTGCCCCAAAATCAAACCAAAAAAACACTTTCGGGTAGACGGGTAGACTGTATAGTGGACAAGTTTCTGCTGAGAAAATCTGTTGGGTTTTTGCGGATGTTTTGCATTTTGGGATTTGAGCAGCAGGTGGAAGATGTGCAAATGAAGGAGCAAACTGTGTCTGCCAGCGAATTACAGTAGATCCTGTATGTATCGAACCCTTTTTCCAAAGCCTCAAGACAGTACCCAAAAATTGGTCGAGTCGAGAATTATCCCCAAAAAAATGTGCAGAAAACACTGCGAATGCAAATAGGATATTGATCTGTGGGTTCTGGGCGGGTACTGCATACACATACGGTACGGACATTATGATATGTTTGATCAACGGGTGGGGTCCTCTCCATTGATTGCTCGGAGGGTGACCTGAAAGTAGCCACGAGGCTCCAGTAGTAGGCGATGTCTCCAACTGCAAAGGCTCGTTTGCCTGACACGACAAGAGCAGTGCTGAACGAATCTCGTAGGGCAGTGCATGCAGTTGGTAAATCCCCGATGTCTGCTAACAGACACTGGCATTGGAACCAGACATCGGGGGTTTACCAACAACAGATGGGAAAAGAACAGGAAAACCAACCATTTGGGTTTGTCGGTCCGAGAATGGGGAACGTCCCACCAATTCATGGCAAATATGGCAAATTGGGCAGTCAACAATTCCACAGCTCGTCTACAGCACGCTGCATGTGAAGGCTCAACGTCTGAAACCTATCCTGCCATCACCATTCAAGAGCTTGGCCTTGGCCAGGATCCATATGGATCCATCCTGAATCAGAAAATCATCCACCAGGATCCCGAAATCCCAAGCACTCCAGTCACCACAGGGCCTACACCCACGTCAGAGTGCTGAGTTGGACCACCTCGACACATGACCGGGGCGCACATGATTCACAGATGGTCACAGGGCCCAAAAAGGCATCACATGAGAGCTGGAAATATCTGGAAATAGACATGTTATGACATGCTGAGCCCAACCACAAATCACCTCATCTGGTTCTTTTTGTTGCATTTACAGGTGCATGTCCTATCATGTCCAGTGCGTTCAGCACATCCAATGCAATTGACAAGTTGCTCTGGACTGGCTGCGTGCTTGACACACTGGGAGCATTGCCTAAGGAAAGCAGCAGGCCAGCGACGGGCGCTCACAGTAATTATGCAGTGTTGCTTCAAACATTTTTTTTAGAACGATGGGTGCATCACGGTGCAGTGCAGGCTCCCTATCTGCAGTACCCGTGTGTTTGTGTGTGCACGTGTGAAACCCGCTAATCGTCATGCGGGTAAGAGTTTCCAAATTGAAGTCAGCGATAAATTTTACATGTTTAGCAGGGGGGCTGGTTCTCCATGCAAGTACCAGCCCAACGAAGAGGCTTGCATGTGACACTGGTATCACTGGAGACGTGCAGTGATGTACCTGCTTCGAATGTGTTTCGAACTTCGAACTGTTGAACATGTTTCGATTTCAGGCTGTTGCGGGTACAGGTACATCATTCTCCGTCAGCCTGCTTCATCAGGATGATTAATTACCTAGGAACCCTGAAGGCGATGTTAACCTCATCACTCTAAAGTTCCAATTCGGAGGTATTCGGAGTGCGGTGTGTGTGTGTGTGCGTGTTTCTTGCATTCCGGCTTACTTCTGGGAGCTGTTCTGTCCGATTCAGTTCTCCGGGGAGACATTCACAACAAATGATCAAAGGTGAATCGGAAAGTTTGCAGCAAGTGTTTCTCCCGAAAGTGTTATACTGGTTGGTGACTCACCCCCCCCCGCAAAGTAGTGTATGGGTCAGTCGATGTCAGTCGGCATGGTCATGCCAAAAAATAAAAAATCTTGAAACCACCAACCAGCACAGTCTACGGGGCCCATGTAGCAGCCAATCCCTTTTCACATCGCATGCATGGCCACGGCTCTGATTGAGATGACCTCGCAATTCAATTGGTTGCACAGTTCTTGGGGTCTCGAGGCAGTGGCATCTTTCACCCACTGACTGACTGGCTCCCGGTGTTGCAGATTTGACAAACGCCGTATGACAGTATGATGTTTCGGTGTGCTGTTCCCATGTCGGTCTGCGAAAACAAACATATCATCACCACTGCGGTTTGTCCGAATAGTCCGTAGACCAGCATAGCGTACCTCAAAAAGCAGCCATCCCCATTGATCTTTACACAAACACAGCAGCATTTGGAGCCTAGGAGCAGAAGTCCGATTCGGAGACTCCCGGGTGAAACAAGTGACTGGAGCTACCACGGTCCAGGATGGCAGTGGAAATGCCACTGTTTTGCTTGTGGATCAACTTAGACAGATCTTTTGTTTCAAAAATATGTAGAAATAATGCAGACATGGGCATGTCATCCAAGTGCCTCAACTGAGCCGTACCACATCATGTCTCAAGCCTCAGTCTCCATCTTCAATGGCCGTTTCTCATCTGAACTCGCCTGAACCGGGCCGCAAACATCCCATCTGCACAGGCATCACCAAACACTTCCGTTGAACCCTCCATTTATATAGGATTGTCATGGATTGACTTATTACCGATGTGCATGGGTTGTTTGCTTGTTCTCCTGTGTTAAAAGAGGTTTTTTCTCCATATTTTTCCATTCAATGAGATTCCTGGACATTCCTGGGCCCAAAACCGGCCTGCGTTTTCCACGTCACCGCACCTTCATGGTGCAGCTTCCGCTGTCACGGCCTTGTTGTCGCGTGGCACTGGCTGGGCGGCGGAGCGCGCCAACATGCCACTGATGGAGCCTTTCCTCGGGCCGGATGTTTTTCGAATGGTCAATTATAAATGCGGGTGTTGTTCTTCAAAAAAATTGGGAGGTTGAGGTTAACCAACTAAATAGCAACTAATTATATGTATATATATATATATGTATGGGCCTGGTTGATGGGTGGGTTTGGGGGGTATCCTAATGGATTTCTGGTTTATAGAGATCACCTCGCTGTGAGCAGAAATAGAATTCGTACACCTGCTCACTTGTAATTGTGAAACTACGTACCCGCTAGGCCACATATGTTCCCATCACTGGGTTGACCCAAGGGGAAACCTACAGGAAACCGGTAAACCTGTTTTTTTCAACCATGAAATATGCAGCTTATTTAGCAGCTTTGGCGCATGTTTCGTTGAACTTGACATCATGTAGTATCATGTACTTATATGTACTCTAGGTACTCCTTAGGGTATGTGGGGGGGGACCTTTCCATTTTCCTTTTTAAGGTGGGGTTGCCTACTCCTGTCCAATCCTGATCCTGGCTTTGGAGACCAAGAATGCCTAAACAAGCCTAAACAGTGCATCGCGCCATTTTATAGGGTGCACAGCCGCATGGTCAGGGCAGGGTTTTACCTGGGACGGCCGGAGGTATATTAAAAACATAAAAGCTGCCATGGTTCACATTTTAGGTTTTGCCACCTTGATCCATCGCAATCTGATCCCGTTGTAGCGGATAGGTGCAAAGCTTATTCAATTAGCTTCAAAATGGTCGATTTAAGCTTCCAAATCGTCGATTTTAGCTTCAAAATCGTCGATTCTAGCTTCAAAAACGTCGAATTTCGGTTCAGAACGGTCGATTTTAATTACGCAAGAATCGCTTCCACGACTGCCTCCCTCCCCCCTCCTAAATTCGGCTCCGCCGGCTCCCCACGAGTGGCTTGCCCTACGAGCGTCCCAGAGCGACTAGAGCTCTATGGTGAGGCGCGCCCCAAACCGCCGACCCTCCGACGCCGGGCCGAAAAACACCAAAAATCCTTCAGGAGGGTGGGGGAGAGCTTTTTGGCCGGAATCCGGGTCGCTCATAAGCGTCTCCAAGAGCAAAAGGCCCCCCCCCCCGTTTGGAGGGTACCTAAAATCGGAAAAAAGTGCCGTTTTGACACATTTTTCGGACGATTTTTCGCTTTTATCCTATACCTTGTAGCCAGGTTGTAGCGGATAGGTGCAAAGCTATTTAATGAAAGCGGTGGGGTGGGTGGAAATACACGGTGCTAGGGCGACGTTAGGGCGACATTAGGGCGTCTGTAGGGCCTTTCCTGCAGCTAAATGCCGCATCACATGAAGTGGCAATCCTCCAGGGGCCAACAACAGGGCACAACCGACCAGATTGTTTTTTCTTGTGCCCAGCTTGTACTTTATTCTTTCCAGAGGCTATTCCTTTTCATTCCTGTTCATTTTTCTTTTTTGTTTTGGGACTTACAAACCTTAAACGCAATGAAATGCATAGAAGATTTCTCTCGCATTCCTATGCGTTTCATTGCTTTTAAGGTCTGTGAGTCCCAAGACATGATGGAAAAATGAAAAGGAATAGCTCTGGAAAGAAAAAGGTCCGGAAACCTGTAGAAATGCTCCACGGACGGTCCCCGATGGAGAGGCCCCCAGAGCGAGAAACAAGCATGTCTCTTGCTCTGGGAAGCGTCCCATTGCTTAGGGCCTCCGGCCCTAAGCGATGGGGATGCTTCCGCCCAAAAACCCATCCAATCGGTTGTGCAATGTTGTTATACCCCTTGAAGGATTGCCACATTATGCGATGCGGCATTTAGCTGCAGGACCCTTCAGTAAATAAGCTTTTTATTGGTTGATGGATAGTCTATATATATATATCAAAATATCTACCGCCAAACTAACGCAAAACTAGCGCTTAGGTGCAGAGATGGATTTTCAATGCGTATACGCGTGACTCCGCCTTTTAACGAGATTGTAAATTCGTCATGCAAATTTATTTATGTCCACCTATGATTAGATTTCCTGATTAGCATTTTAGAAAAGTTTCCATATGTGTATCATACAGGGATTAGACAAAATCACCCCTAAGTCATACCTAAAGCCAGCCTAAAGCCTCCCTAAAGCGCTTGCGCGCATGGCAACGCCATTTCAATAAGTCATACCTTAGTTGTCCCTTTGAGGCATTTCACCATGTAAACGCTGCATCAGCTTTAGACCTTCAAACTTGCAGATCGCTCAAATTCAACTCTTTCTTGCCCTGCTGCCTATGCATTTCACGAGTTTCCTTGGCAGTGGAACAAATCGTTTCCAACGATTTGCTTTGCCCTTCCCTTCCCTTTCTTTCTTCCCTTCTTTTCCATTTCCTTCCATTCCCTTTTCTTTTCTTCCCATCCTTCCCTGAAGCAAACCAGGGAAAAAACGAGATCAAAATGAGATCAGAAGGCTGGGTCAGCCCTTACCTTTTGGGCCCTGACCTTGCCCGGAACCTGGTGTTAAAACTGCAACGGATAGCACCGCCGGATGGGAAACCCTTGAAAAAAAAGATTTTCCAAAAAATGAACCCCACAGGCGTTTTCTTTTACTAAGTGGGTACCTAGTATGTACTTAGTATAATGTAGGTCACGTGTGCCACAAGCTCCTCCTGGTAAATTTCCCGATTTGTTTTGTGACTTGTTGGATTTGGTGCACCCATCTCCAGTCCCAGCGGCGTTCTCAGCTGGAAGAGGTTGACTGAACCCGGATTGGAAGAGCAGGACCTCATCTTTGGCAAGTGCTTGGGCCCATTGGAGCACAGTACTGAAGAACATATTAATTTCCATACATGTCATCATGTCATGATAGTTTTCCGAGGGCTTCGTTGAATGGCAAAACAAAATGAAGCAAAACTCTGACCTTTTGATCCTTTTGCAAATCCAAATCCACTTGATCCAAGCAGCGGTGGGGGCAAATTCAGGAGATCTTGCTCACGCTGGGTGTTGCCAATATGAAAGAGGCAGGATGGTAGGATCACCACACCTTGGCGTCACGGAGGTTGGGAAACCTAGGTATAGAAATGGGCATTCATGATATTCATGTCAAAATTCAAATTGCCAACATGATGCCTTTGGTTATAAGATGTTATAAGGCTTAAAAGGTTTAAAAGTATCCGTATCTAATATGCAAACCACATTCTGTGTTTCAAATGTATGCCACCTGTGGCAGAAACGGGAAAACCTACTTGCACCATGCAAATGGCATATGTAGACACCTCGCCACCTCGCCTTCAGAGACTCTGGGTGCTGAAATGGGTCGACCATTTTTGGCAAACTTGGCCAAGAATTTGGACGGCGCCATGCAGAAATTCTGCCGAGCCGCTGTTGTCGCTTCCAGCCTTCTTGTCTGCCATGGCACGGGGTGCGCTGTGGATCTACCAAGCTTCGGTGCTGATCCAAACTGCAACGGCGGGCAGGTTGTGCTGGATGAGGCCATTTGGGGGCCAAGAATGGGAGTGCAATGGGCCAAATCATTTGGAGGCAAAAAATTGACCCATCAACAGTTGGCATATCCTCATGAACCCATAAGTGGTGGGAACCTGAAGAATGCACCCCAGGCAGCTATCATTTTCATTCATGTTCCTCTCTGATGTCTTGCCACCAGCCTCAATCAACGGGAAAAGTCTCCACTTTACTACTTTACACATTAACTTGCACTAGCCACAACTAGTTCTGTGCCACTGCTTCATTCAAAAGGCATCATGCACGTTCAAGCACGCAGCTCAGGCTCAGATCGCCCAACACTGATTTCAGTGTCAGTGACATTGAATTTCCTGCTCTCAGGTGGCCCCAGGAGGGTGTTACACCGCTACACACTTTAAGCCGTTTAAGCACTTCCATGGCTCTCCTCTTGGCTGCTGCCATCTGAATCACAGCTGCTGGTGCTCTCAAAAGTGGCCTTGGATGCATGACGGCGGCATCTCCATAACCTCCAGGGTCTGGTGGTCAAATAGCCCAGCAGGGCAGAGGCCACCAAGCACAAACTCCAGACAGATCCGGTGTCTTCCAACATGCTGCCGCGCACCGCCAGGATCAGCAGAGCCATGAGCCACGGGTGAATTAAATAGAGCAGCAGCGCCCCATTGGCCAACCAGGATGGCAGGGCCTGGCACTCAATGGCACGGCCCACCCGGTCCACCACAAACATGAAGATCACTGCACCAGCCACGTAGTCAGCACGATCCAGCACCCGTGGGTAGTAGGGGTAGGTCAGGTTGCCTGCTGCATACCAATTGCTCGAGGGTGCCGTCATGGTCCGCAAGATCACCATCATTGGCCAGTACATGCTGACAATGGGCAAAGCCTCCTCTTGGTTCGGCAGCCGCGCCACGGTCAAAACGAAGCCAAGTTGGAAGGACTTGTTGAAGCCTTGGAGTTGCTGATCTGGAACCACAATAAACTGTTGTAAGAATTATTCCAACCACATGCCTCACATGATTGGGTGTGCGAACGGTGAAGTATACTATACACACACATGTACAATCATTCACACACACACACATATATATATATATATATATATGTGTGTGTGTGTATTGGAAAAATGTAGCAAAAGAATGCCTCCAAGCAAATCCAAGATAAGCCCGTCAAGATGAAGACAACAAAGGCACCAGAGATGTGCTCAATCACTGGTGCATAGGGAACGCAGCCAAACTGAACTGTGGTCACAGCACCAAGACAGTAGTGAATGAAGCGTAAGGGGATTCGACTTGGTCGATACTGGGGCATGGTGAGAACAGCAAGACCCAGGAATACAACTTCACACACCACCATGATGCCAATGATCAGTGCTGGATTTGAGATTTCACTGCCAGCGAGGACCACAAAGGCTGATTCTAGACCCACTGATGCAATAACTTGAAGACCAAGAATGGCAAGGTGGCACGTCCCGTTGCGCAAGAATGCGAAGAGCGGCCAATTCAAGAGCATCAGCGCCATAAGCATTGCAGTGTACCACATTTGAAACACCAGGGGGAAAATCCTCCCAGAGTCGGGGCAAATGGTGAAATCAAAGAGGAGACCTTGGCACTCGGGTCTGCCATAGCCAGTTCCGGGATCGCACTTTGGATTCTGCGGCCCCAGGAGCCATAGCACCGAATTGAGGGCCACCCCAAAGAGTGTGTACAGCAAGATCTTCACCAAACCTCCATGGCCAATCTTACATACCCTGCACCCCAAGGTGCCTAAATCTAAATCTTTTTGGACGTGCTGGTTTGACATGTCCGACCCATGTGTAGCAAAAGAATGAACTCGTTAACATGAACCTACTCCGCCTACTAAACCATTTCCCACGCCTCCTGGACTTTGTTTCCACGAGCAAGCTGAGGCAGCTCCGGACACAAAAAACAGCAACGGCAGGCAGTACTGTCGCACTTCTGAGATCCAACGGACCCCCATGGAACTGGGATCCGTGAGATTGTAGATGCGGTCGTCCACTTCAATGTTGCCATGAACTCCACCCCTCATTCCACTTCGGGAGATGTGGGCATAAACCACGAGAATGACCATCAAGGCTCGAAACCAATCCAGTTCATGGATACGCTTCTTCTGCGGTGCTCCATTTTTGGACTGCATCGGTGGCTGCACGAAACCACTGTCAACGTCTTCCATGTGCTGTTCTACATCCATATCCTACCCACTGAACATGAGCCTGATGCCCTGCGGATGTGCTCTGGTGATCCAAGATGGTGATGGGACACATGCCTTATTTCACTATAAAATTAGATCTATGATATCTATGATTTTCTATATGGCCTTGTATTGGGTATGTAAGTTGCCTGTTCTCCAGTTGGATTTTGTACCATATGGTCAAAATGTGGTACGGGTTGTACATAGCCATCCCATTTCGCTATAATATTGGCCATCAGAAGTCCCCATTCATCGAGTATGACAGTCCCTCGATATACTTTTGACATCTTGTGACCTATGGAGGCATCGAATGCTTCGCATCCAACCCTTGACCATCTTGACCACAGCACGTATGGGTTTGCCATGGTTTGCCTAATCAACCTTTGGTGAATGCATGGAATAATCATAAATTGATATAAATTGGGTATATCATGGGTATATCCGATTTTTAATCAGATCCATATAATTGCCCGGGGGGGGTTACCACTAGGGCCCCACTTCACTGTGCCAAGTCACCGCCGATGGCGTGACCATCACGAGCCGGACGACTGCGAACCTGCGAAAATCGGATGCGGGATTGAGGAACTCCAGGAATTGGAGAGTTTGCAACATAATAGTAATGTAATGGTAGAGTAATCTTCCTACTATCTAGCAGCCTCCTTAGTAACAGGCATGATTGATGCATTCGGGCTTATAGCCTCTTTATAGACTTTCCTTGATTGGTTCGTCTTTTCCTTGGATTTTTCTTTCCCTTTGTTTCCCTCGGAAACCATCAAAGGAAATCAAAGGATACCAAAGGAAAAATGAGATAATCTAAGAAGAACTGATTTTAGCTAGTTCCTTTTTGTTTCTTGTTGTTTCTTTTGGTTTCCTCCCACAATTAAAAGCCATATTTTGGTTCAACCCATGCATTGGAAAGGTTGACACTGCTAGCTTTGGCCCACGCCTTGGTGGAAATGTGGAACACCTGTTACAGAAAAACACCAGAGAGCGAGCAAACGTGCATCATTTTGATTTTCCAGATGTCAGCCACTTGCAGCCACTTGCAGCCACTTGCAGCCACTTGCCCCGTCAGCCACTTGCAGCCACTTGCCCCGTCAGCCGCTTGGCAGCCGCTTGGCAACCACTTGGCAGCCACTTGCAGCCACTTGCAGCCACTTGCAGCCACTTGCCCCGTCAGCCACTTGCAGCCACTTGCAACCCCTTGCAGCCCCTTGCAGCCACTTGGCAGCCACTTGCCCCGTCAGCCACTTGCAGCCACTTGCAGCCACTTGCAGCCACTTGGCAGCCACTTGCAACCACTTGGCAGCCACTTGCCCCGTCAGCCACTTGGCAGCCACTTGCAGCCACTTGCAACCACTTGCAGCCACTTGCAGCCGCCACTTGGCAGCCACTTGCAGCCACTTGCAGCCACTTTGGCAGCCACTTGCAGCCACTTGCAACCCCTTGCGCCCCTTGCAGCCACTTGGCAGCCACTTGCCCCGTCAGCATTGCAGCCACTTGCCAGCCACTTGGCAGCACTTGCAACCACTTGCAGCCACTTTGGCACTTGCCCCGTCAGCCACTTGGCAGCCACTTGGCAGCCACTTGCAGCCACTTGCAGCCACTTGCCCCGTCAGCCACTTGCAGCACCTTGCCAGCCACTTGGCAGCCCACTTGCCCCGTCAGCCACTTGGCAGCCACTTGGCAGCCACTTGGCAGCCACTTGGCAGCCACTTGCCCCGTCAGCCACTTGGCAGCCACTTGCAGCCACTTGCAGCCACTTGCCCCGTCAGCTACTTGCAGCCACTTGCAGCCACTTGCAGCCACTTGCCCCGTCAGCCACTTGCAGCCACTTGGCAGCCACTTGGCAGACGGGTGACATCTCGAAAATCAAATTGCGCACCTCCTGCACCCACAATGGAAACCACACTTGTACTGATAGGAGGAAAATGAAAACAAAAGAAAACACAAGAAAACCCAAGGTTTTCAAAGGAAGAGTTCCTATGATACTACTTGTAATAATCTATCCTGTTTTGGGGCGGTGGAGTATGTTTTAAACCCGAATCTATCCGAATAGAAGCAACAATTCTGCTTTCTGGGGTCTCGTTTGTTCAGCAAATGCTCAGCTTTTCGCGACCCCTTGAACCAACTAAGTTTGCAGGCAGGTAGCGCTGCGTGGCCTCCTTCTACCAAATATTGGCATGCATTCCTTGAAAGAGAAAATGAAGAAAGCCGTCTATCATGTTTTGCCTCACAATTTATAAAATATTAATATTTTTTTTATGCATTTATTTATTTATATTTTATTTATTTATATTATATTTATGTATGTATTTATATTTATGTATTTATTTATTCATTTATTTGCATTATTCATATATAATCATACACATGTCACACGCACATAGATGTGCGTGTGTATATATGTCTCTCTCGCTCCCTCTCTCTCCATCGCCCTCTCCAAGAGTTCAGTCACAGACTAAAGGCGAGCCAACGGCCCAGCCCCCCCCACAAATCATGTGTCAGCTGGCGAGCTCTGTGGCAAGCCGCGTCATGTCATATGTTTGTCCGTATTTATTAATGTTTATATTTATGAATCTACATCTACGGTGTATCCTCATATCCCCATTCTTTGAGCACTCATGCAACTTCCTGTGAGTCACCCTACCTGAGTCTTCTGCGACACACGCAGCGCCACCAGTAGCTTCTGCGGCCGGGGCCAGGGAAGGACATCGCTCAGTCTGGGTAGGAATTGGTCAAAACGTAAGCAGTCTCAGCAGTCTCAGTTTACCACCAGTTTTGGAGATGATCTTTTCCTCTACAAGTGGGCCCCGCCAAACAAAATCAAATGAATATGGATTTTGCCGACTGCTGTGGATGAAGATCCCCCCCACCTGACTCAGCTCATTGGGCAACTTGGGATCGCAGGGGAGCCAGCCTCAGCGTGGAGGATGCTGGAATTGATGGAAGCGGGTCACAACTCCGAACATAAGTGGCATCGATGGTTGAGAAGTGGGATATAATTCCCTTTGCAAACAACTGGGCTATTAATAAATCATAAGCAACTTGGTTGTAAGTCGTAAGTTGTAATGTCTTGGAGGAAAAAACTGGGACATTCTATGGGCCACTTGTCAGTCTTTCATCATTTACTTTCAGGAATCAACGATGGTGACGCCACGTTGCCGCTGTGGCTGCGGGGCAAAGCATCAGAAGCCATTGCGGCGATTCCAAGGAGGTTGGCCGAAGCCTTCAGTTTCACAGGTTGGTTAAGAACTCGGTAATCCCCAATAGATAAAGGGATATAAAGGGTGATATCAGCCGAACTAATCATCAGGGGTTTAGCAGCCAGTGCTCAGATGACACTTGCAACCCGCGGTCACCACACACTTTTGACTGGTCAGTTGTTTGTTCTTTTAAGGCTGGAAGGCTGGGCTTTTCAAAATTGGTCCAGTTAAAACTAGCAACTCAAGGTGGTCTTCTGTAGACAGTTTGATGTCGCTTCATGGGCTTGTAGCGTCTGAAGCTTAGCCTTTCTAGCAATCATCTTGAGCCACGCTGGAAGGCTTCTGAAAGGCCGCGCCAAAGGCATGTTTCCAGCTGGCTTTCAACCGACACAGGATAATACGATGAAAAGGAATCCTCTCGAAATAGCTCCAACAACACCTTTCCCCTCAGATTTTAGCCCACTGAAAGGCCTTAGAACTTCATGCTGCGACTCGGCTCAGAAGTGTCGCTGCCACTGATCTGAGTGCACAACACGCTTATTCCAGCCACAGTCGTCACAGAGTTGTTGCCAAGGCGATGTAGCGTAAAGCTGGTGCCAGGACCTCAGCTAGCAATCACAAGATCAAGGAACCAAATGCTTCCAACAGATGAGAACATCAAATCCTTTGGGTTATTTTTTCCTAACCAGTAGATTGAGAAGTAAAAAGAAACGCAATGAAACAATCAACACCCAAAAAAATGTTGGCAGTTTGTTCCTGTGCATGGTTTGCCCTCATGTGGAGCTAACACGTGAAATGGATCTATAATGATCTGTTTAAAAAGGCCCCCTGTGTATAAATATATGTATAATATATATATATATATACACATACAGTCGATATATATATATATACATATCTATATTCATCTATATTTATCTGAACTTAAGATTGGTCTATATCTATATCATATTTATTGAATATATGCGTATGTCGTCCATATCAATCTCTCTCTCTCTCTCTCCAGTGGTGCTTAGGCGAGAAAAACAAACCCGGCAAACACATTCAGCTGGAGCGCAGCATGCATGCCAACTCCCGCGTCAACGTGGCAGCCACACAACAGGCACCCAAAGAAATTTCGGAAACCATGGATCTAGAACGGAGTTTTACTAGCAAATGTCGGAAAACTCTTCCGAACATTGCAATGAATTCAACAAAGGAATGCACGAGATTGCAAGAAGGAACCAGGTCACCAAAGAACAAGGCATTGGGCAAGGACGAGCTCACAAACCAGCGATGCATGTGAAAACAAACCACGGCCACGGAAGCACCCTTGGACGGTGCTAGATTGACAATGTCCGTGTCAGCAGAACTAAGAGGGATGTATAGAATGCTTTTTAAAGACAGCTTAAAGATCTATCTAACTCTATCTACATCAAATTTTATCAGTGGATATGTACATATGTTATTTACATACATAAATACATTACATTACATTACATTACCTTACGTTCCGTTACATTACACTACATTACATACCATATACACATACACAAAATTACATTACATTGCATACACACATACACATAATTACATTACATTATATACATTACATTACATTACATTACATTACTTTACATTACATTACATTACATTACATGAAATACAATACAATACAATACTACAATACAATACAATGCAATACAATACAAAACAAGACATCAATACATACATACATTACATACATTACATACAGTACATACATTACATACATAACATACATAACATACATTACATTACATTACATTACATTACATTACATTACATTACATTACATTACATTACATTACATTACATTACATTACATTACATACGTGCATGCATGCATGCATACATACATACTTACATTACATTACGTTACGTTACGTTACATTAAATACATACATTCATACCATACCATACCATACCATACCATACCATACCATACCGTACCGTACCGTACCATACCATACCATACCATACCATGCATGCATGCATGCATGAATACATTCATACTGACATTACATTACATTACATTACATTACATTAATACATACATGCATACATACATACATGCATACATACATGCATACATACATACATGCATGCATGTAATACTTACAAAACATACTTACATAACATAACATTACACAACATAACAAAACATAACATACATACCGTTAAATACCATTACATACCTTTACATACCATGACATACCATTACATATCATTACGCTACATCCATGACATGACATGACATGACATGACATGACATGACATGACATCCATCCATCCAAGACATGACATGACATGACATGACATGACATGACATGACATTACATTACATTACATACATACACCAAGGACATGACATGACATGACATGCCATTGCATTACATTACATTACATTACATTGACTACATTACATTACATTACATTACATACATATATACTTGACATGACATGACATTATATGACATTACATCACATTAAACATTACATTACATACATATGTTAACATATGATATACATGTGTGAGTGTGATTTCATATTTGCTAAGGACCTTGCCAGAAACAGCGCTAGAAACCTCAATGGAAGCAGCTGCGCTTAGCTGCGCCCACTAGACGAACATTTTACTAGTAGACTTAGATAATGGCAAAGCCTTGTCTTTGTAGACTGTCTTTGTTGGGTTTTGCTTGGTATGCCAAAGTACCTTCTTTGAACATCTTTTTGGTGCGGCCAACCTAAGTTACGTAGCTTTAGGCGGGCAAACTTTTCGGTGAGTGCTTGCCCATGTCAAGTCTACAGTGAGTCTTGAACCAAATTGTCATGGAAACGTCCCATCACAACAGGATACAGGGAAGTAGAGTCATTATGACTTATTCCCATCTGGTGTTAATCGCCAGCTGATAAACTATGATAAACTCATATTGATAGGTACAGCAGTACAGCACATGTTTTGTGGCAATCTATACAAGGTTGCAATGGAAAATCCTGGATCTTAATGAAGTAAACTCATCTATTGCAAGATTGGATTGCTACGCTGCTACAGGGTATTCTGTGCACTTGAGGCAAACACCCGCCAAGCCAAAGACAGCAGCAACAGCAGCTACAGACCTGTCAGGCAAGCGTTGATTCTGAAAATGTCAAGGCACCTATTTCACATTTTTACAGTAATCACAATCAAGAAAAAACATGCGTATACGAACTCACAAATGTGTATATATGTATGCCGTACAAAAAAAAAGTCTTCAATATTGCCAATACTAGGTATTTATTTAGCATACATATCATATATCATATTACTCTTTTGCATGCTTGTGCCAGCAGTGAAGTGTTCACACAAAATATCGAAAATACATATCAAATGATAGGGATGTGTAATCTAAATATAATATGTATCTATATTTAGACTATATTATATATGAATCAAATGGCTTGAATATGCTTGAATTATGCCTTGGATTCGTGTGCCGCTGTGACACACCACAAAGCTCTGCTGCGCATCAAAGGCCGTTGGCAATGGGGGATCGTCATCAATTTTCTTGGGATGGACAGTTTTTAAATTCGAACCACCATTGGAAAACAAGGAGGTTGGTGGTTCCAATTGGTTGGAATTCATCTTGACCGTTGGAATTAACTTGAGCAAATGCATTCGGATTGGACTTCCAAGTCTGCAATGGTTGGCAATGCGAACTGGGGAGGCCACCATTTCTTCTTGTAATGCGCCATTCGCTCAGCGTCTGCTGCCATGGTTTCCTGCCAGAATTCTACAGCATTTGCCCTCATGTAGCAGTGATGATGCAAGATGATGTAGGTTTGGCCTTACCACTTTTAAAGTGCATTACATGCAAACAACCCCCCCTTACTTGGGGGTGCATCCCAATAAGTAAGTGGATAACAATCATAGCACACCCCAGTTTCATATGGATAATGTATAGTATTTACATAAATAAATAAATCAATCAATAAGTAAATAAATGAATAAATAAATAAATATCTATATAATATACATATATAAATATATTTAAAAAAAACATATATATATATATATATATAATAATAAATAATAATAATCATCATTTAAAAATAATGATAATAATATATATATATATGTTATATGTCGCTATACATATATAAATATGATAAATATTTGTTTTTTCTTATATTAACCTTACCTGATCCCGCGCATCTAAGAGTTAACCATAGCGAATCTAGTGACAAAGTCACCCATTCTGAGCGATTTTGCTCACTGGGACACCACCTTGCAGAGACTGTAAACACTGAATGATGATTTGGGGCTACCTCTGTGAGCATGTCCAATCTTATAAGTGGTGCCCCAGTTCGGAATCGCCAAGTTGGTTTATGCTCCAATAAGTGGGGTTTCTGGTAGATATATTGAACAAGCTAGTCGCGGTTGTAAACCAGCAAAAAATCACTGCGGGGGCACTAGCCATCCAGCCGGTTTCCGCACTGAACAAATCTTTGCTGGGATGGATGAATTCCCACCGATTGTGCACAAAAGATCATGAAACTTCTCAAAATTCGTCGCGCAAACCTCTTTTCCAACAGGGAACAGGCAATGTTACACTGCTGCAGCTGCAGCTGCAGTATATGCTACCGGAAGCCTATACGGGAGCGACCCCGCCGGCGAGGCAGAATCGGTGATCTCACTGACCCACTGCTTGTTTCAACAGGAAAGAAAACATAAACCACCAATTAGGGGGGGGGCAAAATGATAGAAGTTGATAAAATCCCACGAAAAGAGCTTTACATGATGAGGCATGACTTCTTGTTTGGGATTGCTATTTAAAAAATAGATCAGCATTCTCAATCCTCGGAAAAATATATTACACTTATATAATATTGTATAGTCTAGTTTATTTTATAGAACCACCAACCAGCTTTTTGGTTTCTAGTTTCTGTTTGGAAAGGTTCGCCAGCACCGGGTGGCACGCCGTGCATGTCGCTCAGATACAAAAACGCCAACTGGTGGTTTGAGGCCTGATGGTCTGGAATCCATGAACATTTCCAGCGCGATCTCCTTCTCTGAGAGATTCCAAACCACCAACAAAGAGCGCCAGTGAGCTGAATCTGGGTCTGGATCAAGATCGGAATGATGTTCTCCCAACAAAACTTGGATTTGCAGATTAAAAAAGGTCAGGGATATGGGTCCCAGTGCTCATTACTTGACCATACTTGACCCATAGGCATTGCACTAACGTCTTGGGCAAAATGGACAATCTGAAGGTCACAGAATCGACGGATGTGGCGTATCTGGGTGAGCCATCGCCAACATACCAGACAGTCATTGGGGTTTGTGGGGTAGACCACCAAAATGGCAAGTTCAACATGGGAAAAAAAGGTGATTAACTACAACGGGATTTTGGATGCCAAGTTCGTATGAAGAACCACCCCGGAAGGTCTAAATCCACAGGTTTTCACCCCCAAAGAATATCAAAGAATGGGCAGCAAACCCAAAATGATATTCTTGAGATTTGGAATGGGATTCATGAGATTTATATAGTAGAAAGAATCAACAGTATGAGGCCAGGGGGCTGAGGGTGTCCTTTAATCGGCGGTGCTGCACGTCATTTGGGGATCAACCCCGGTTGGGATCATCATCCCATGTTGATGGAGGGCGATGACTTTCGAGGAAACTGTATCGGAATGTATCGGACCTGTTGCAACTGTGTGCTTTGAAAGAAAGAAACGATCACTTCAACGTGTCATTTCTCAAGCAAAGACATGTCTGGGTTAACATATGTTAAAAACATAGTTTTTTAGGGTAAAATTCTGTATCCCAGTAAATCTCCCCATTGAATCCCATTGATACCCGATTAAGTTACCTTTTATAGCTGGTGAAATCCAACTTTCGGTGACCTTTCCCCACTCGGTTCGGTGGCACTTGTGACCACCGCAGGGGGCACCTGGAAACGAGTCCCAGGACTCCCCCATTTCGCCGGTGAAAATGGCAGGAGGTGTCATGCACTTCGAGACGTATCGAAAAAATCGAAACACCAGTTGCATCCAAGGTTTCTCTGGACGAGAGTTTGATTCAAGTGGCCTCCAGAGGCCTTTGCGGTGCCATAAGGGGCCTCTATTTTCATCTATATTTTCACTGCTTAACATGGTAAGCAAGTTGCCAGCTCGAAACCTTGGAATGCCCTGGAGATCACTTAGCTCCGGAAAATGCTCAGGACAAGATGGAAAACTATGGAAAACTCATGAAAAGTCACTAAATTCATCTAATATCGTCTAAGAATCCTAAAATCCATGACTGTGACTCATCACTCATCACCACTCATTTCGTGGAAGTTGTCTGGGTCCATGTTGAATACTAAATCCTAGGATACCTAGGATTCGAATCTTTAGATTCTATGCATGTGAAATCTTCCCTGAAGATTTACAATGTTCACAGATTTCCCAGTTTTCCTGAAATGTCCGGCCTTGAATCCACAAGCTCCACACATGTGATCCCCTTCGGAACGTCGGGTCATCATGTGCCAATTTCGTTGCGACCATTTTTCATCATTTTCATCCCAGACGGCAGCGCAGCACTTCGACTTGCTCTTCGAGTAAGGGCCGAAAACCAGGTCTTGCCATGATCAAGCCAAGGAGTGCTGATAGGGGCATCCGTCTCAAGGTTCGAAGTAGAAAAGCGTCTACATGGGGAGCCTTCGTTGAACCGACTTCCGCTTCGAGCATCGCAATGATGTCGGGAGCTTCAATCTGAGCTACTTCAAGAGAACGACGAACATGTGGAAAGAGCACCGCCAGAAGTTCGCCTGTCTCCTCAAAAACAAGAAAGTCGAGGTGACAGGTTGGCTGATTGTTTTTGCTCATCCTTAATTATGCAAAAATAAAGCATCGTCCCAGGAGGTCTGCAAAACAAAGACTATTCAACATGTTGAATCAGTTAGAGCTGTCCAAACTTCCAAACAAAGCATCCAGTTGGTTCAACAGAAGACGCTGGCGTTTGTTTGCGGTTACAAAATGGGAATGCTCATAGTGGCAATAGCCACAAGCATCTCCCATGTCGCAGCTTCCGTTAGCGAAGCGGATGCATGGCCGGCGGCATAGTGCTGGATGGCCTCGGCTGCCGCTACCTGGAGGCTGAACTGGAGTTGCTGGCATCGCAGCCGGCATTTCCTTGGTTTGGCCAAAGCCCCTGTGAAAGAGGACGGCTTTTAGGATCTCCTGTGGAAACCAAACATGTAACATGACAATCCAAAATCCACAGGATTTTCTTGTTCAAACCCGATTTACGAAGGGTCTTGAATTTCCATTTTTTGATTACCAGAGGGTAAATGCTCAAGCATGGTAAAGCTGTAGGGCTACAATCCAGCTTCTATGGGTTCTGTTGACTCTGGTGCTGCTTCTTCTACCGACCCACTATGTGATGTCGTCATAGTCATCTCTGTCTCTGGTTGTGCGGGCATCTGCGGTCGTTCACCAAAAGTGGCACTGCATTTGCCCTCCAACTCAGCGACATAGCTTGTGGCACGGGTTGTCTCCAGATCGGAAGTAGAACTCCTTGGATTTGCTGTGGCGTCCCCAAAAAATCGTTTAAGCATGCGTAGATATTCATTGGACCATACATATTCCCAGTTTAAATATTCCACCTTTAAACATGCTAGATTTCGGGAGAGATGACCCAAAAAAAACAACGGTTTTTCTCGGTTTTTTGCAAAACTCTGGTGACTGCCAAGTTGGGGACAGCTCTTGGAACCTGAGCGTGAAAAACTCCGTGAGAACTCCGACTGCAGCTCCGTGACCTCGTCAATGAAGGTGTTGCAATATCGAAAAGTTGCCATGGCCTCGGTGTGGTGACAGGTTGCCGGTTTCCCTTTTTTTTCTGGTTCTTATTGGGATTCGGGTTTCCCACTTGATTATGTTGATCCCCTGTTTTTGGGCAGTATAATCTCATGTAATCATCAACCAACAAGGGTTTTGAACCCTGCTGAATTGGGGTTGTTGGAAATTGATCCAAACATTGATTTAAAAAAGTTGGTTAATCCATTGCCAAAAACCCATAATTCATGGAGATAATCCTTCAATATTAGAGAAACAGGTATCTAGCTGGGATACACCACAATTCCATACAATTCTAGTAAACCCTGCAGCGCATATTTCCTGAGCCATCGCCACAAAAGAAAAGGTGAAATACTACCAATGCGTGCTACACATGTGACACTACTGTGCAACAACACCCCCCGTGCAGCGTAACTACTATATATACAGTAGGGGTGAAGCCGCAAATTCAGTACCATGCACAGTTTTGGTAAGGGATGCCATTAACAAATCAACATTAACAACCAAAAAAAACCTAAACAACAACAACATCGGAGCACAGCCTTCCTTTGTGTCAACTTCTTCGTAGTCACCTCAGTGGCGGTCATTGAACAAGTGCAAAATGCAAGACCATCAAAATTCGATAAGATCAACTTCATGTGACTCTCGAAGATGGCACCACTGCACACGGTCGGATGCGAAATCAATTTTGGCTTGACTAGGCTTGTGGTCGGACATGCAAGCTGTGGAGTTTGACCATCTACATTGGTCAGCATTTCCATGCCGCAACAAAAGGCCTTGTGGTCGCCTAGGAGCTAGACAAGCAAAATGATGAAAGCAAAATCTGAATTCAGATTCCTGCCGCAGGAAAGCAAATTGAGAAAGCTTCAAAAGTGCCCTAACTTCAAAAGGCAAGAGCTTCCGCTCTGCGGTCATGCAACTATACCAGACGTGAGCGCACAAGAAGGAATCATGGCTGGAAATCAAATGAAATGCCAAATGCCAATTTGAATCTTCTAAAGAGATTGAATGAACTTTTAATGCGAATAAGTTGGCAAAAATTCCGACTCAGCACACTAGTTCGACATGTTGTGGAATAGCTGCACCCACACGTGCTTTGAAAGCTGTTTCACAGCCCATTGCAGAAAAATATGGGTGTGAAATAGTTTTAGGATTTTTTTTTTGAGCAGGTTTGGGATTTTTTTTTTGATTTCCTGGCTGGTACAATTTGCCTAGTGTTTGCAACGGTTTGGACCTTGAATTTGTCATTTTGCATGGTATTTGCCACATTTGGGCATGTTCACCTTCCATTTTGCATGAGATTTCCTGCATGTGGACGTGTTCACCTTCCATTTTGTATGGTATTTGCCACATTTTGGCATGTTCACCTTCCATTTTGCATGGGATTTGCTACATGTGGGCGTGTTCCCCTTCCATTTTGCATGGGATTGGCCACATTTGGGCATGTTCACCTTCCATTTTGCATGGGATTTCCTACATGTGGGCGTGTTCACCTTCCATTTTGCATGGCATGGGATTGGCTGCATTTTGGCATGTTCACCTTCCATTTTGCATGGGATTTGCTACATGTGGGCGTGTTCACCTTCCATTTTGTATGGGATTTGCTACATGTTGGCATGTTCACCTTCCATTTTGCACGGGGTTTTCTACATGTGAGCATGTTCACCACATCATCATGCCAACCCCAAGGGATTTGATACATTTTGGCATGGCCACCTTCACTACATCATCATGTCACCCCCAAGCTGTCAAGAGAAGGTTAGTTCGCAAAAATGCAAGTTGCGGACGATGGTCACGGTTAGAATTCACACTATCATGTTCACCACATCATCATGCCAACCCCAACTAATGTATTTACGAGCTTGGGTTTTAATATAAAAAAGCGGGAGGGGGGATTGGGGGGAGGGCGCAGCGCTTCCCCCCAAAGCAGAATGCAAGCATCTCTTCTCACATGTACAGTAATGCTATCAGCTTTCAAGAGAAGGTTGGTTCGCAAAAATGCAAGCTGCGGACGATGGTCATGGTTAGCATTCACACCATCATGTTCACCACATCATCATACCAACCCCAACTAATGTATTTACGAGCTTGGGTTTTAATACAAAAAAGCGGGAGGGGGGGATTGGGGGGAGGGCGCAACGCCTCCCCCCAAAGCAGAATGCAAGCACCTCTTCTCACATGTTGCGCTGTCAGTTCATCATCATGCCAACCCCAACTAATGTATTTACGAGCTTGGGTTTAAATACAAAAAAAGCGGGCGGGGGGATTGGGGGGAGGGCTGAAGAGGGGCCCTAGCGTCTACTTCAAGATCAGCTAAGGCGTCTTCCCCAATGACAGCACTTGTTTTACTCAGCCTGTTGCCGGTCTGTGCTTGTCTACAGGGTTACTCTATATACCTCTTTCTTGAGCCTTGAAGGGCGCATATAAATGTGCTCAATACTCATGCATGTACCCATGTAGGTATTAGGTCGAAACAAAAACACAGGCACAAATTCAAAAGCAATGAGTAGAGCACTACGCCTTGCCGTACCCAATTGGTATTAAGAGTATCTTCCTGACTTCTCTACACAATGGCAAATAGCAAAAGAAACCGGAGTTACGCAGTGGCTTCGAATTGAAAAACACGTGAAAGCAGCGAATGTCCTAAGGACATGTCGAAAAAGAACAGCGGATTCGCTAATTTTTCCAGTAGCGACCAATGGTGCTTCGCGCACGGTCTCTCCATAGGCAAAATGCCTTGCTCTACCGGTGAAAGTTCGAATTGAAAAGTTCGGGTTCGCAAGATTCAGAAATTCAGGTCATACGAAAAACAATTGACCAAATCACGAAATAAACGGAAATAGCGGATCTCCAAAGTTGCTCATTCAAGCAAACAATGGACTGAAATCGAAGTTGGTAATTTTTGGAGTTCGCTCCATTCGGAGTGGTCTGCTCGCAGGATGGTCATGGAGATAAATGTATATAGTATCTCTATTTACAAGAGTCTCTATTTTACATTAAATCAAAATTCAGACACTTGTGGCATTATCTCTATCTAAAAGAGTATATGCCATTTGTGTGAAATAAGTTGAACGCACAGAAAAACTGCACACGGCTTTTCATGCTGTGTTATCTTCATTTAAAGAAGTATACACTCACTCATAGCCAAAAGCTTGATCTCCATGGTCTGGACGAAGAAGATGAGGATCCACCCCACTCTGTGTTGCCCTGATACGTCGATGCTTGATCTTCATATGCCTTTCTCTTTTTCTCCTTCTGTCTTTCCTTTCTTGTATCAGCATACTGCTTCTTCTTGTAGGCCTGTTTGTAATGATGTCGTTCATTCCATGACATATCAGAAGGATCAAGATGGATAAGAATTGGATTATGAGCATCGCGATCATTTGGGGCAACCATGAAGATGTTGTGATCACCATGTAAGCAAGTTTCATTTACCTTGAAGTAAAATTCACCCACATAGTTCATGTGATCTTCATCCTCAAAGTCTTCTGGGTGTTCCTCACACATCAAACGTGAATGACCCCACTCAACAACTGTTAACATACAACAATCACCTTTACCATGTGTCTTGTTCATGATCTCGTCGGTGTATGTTGCTGTTGTAATGCCATCCAAGTGCGTTGCAAGAAAATCCAAGTCACGATAACTGCAAGAAATGAAATGCTTGACCCTGATTGGAGGGCAAGATGAATCAAAATACTTGCGCATGGCTTGTGTTGCAACACCTACCATTCTGTTGATCCAGAATTGGATAAGGCTGTGTTGGTATGTAGGGACACCTGGAGATTTTGGTGTGCTGTAATAGCATGCCTTGTTTCCATCACCTGCGATGAAGTCAACTTGATATCTGGCACACTCAAAAGCCATAACAGCTAAGCACTCACCAACAATCCCAGCAGAGTCTGATGCATACTTCTGTCCGACGTGATAAACGCACACACGTGTCATTCTCATCCTAGCTCTTGTCAAGTCAACAATCTCATCTGTATCTCGATCCTTTGTCTTTCCCCAAGATACTTCAAAGATTGCCCATGAGACTTGTCGAACTCGTGTGTCGTTGTCATCTGTGTGATATCCAGCAATTTGCTTGATATAGCCATCCTTTCCAAGGCGAGCTGCCACCATCAAGTCATGATAGTCATTGAAGCAAGTTTTGAAGTCAACCTCGTTGAGTCTTTCTCTGTGAGGATACAATGAACCAGCCTCGCAATTCATGAAAAGATGTCCTCCAAAGTTCTTGATGACATTGATGAAGTAATTGTTGAACTGTGATTTGTTTTCATCAAATTTTTCATGATCCTCATCGATGGTGTAGTCAATGTGTGGAATGAATTGTTGAAATCTTTCTGGAACCGGGCATTTTTCAAATCTGTTTCTGCACCAGTTTCCCAAATTCCAAAACATTGCTGTTATCTGTGGAGAGGATCTGTATGGAAATTCAGCATCCTTGTACGTTGGGTCTGATAGGCCTCCACCTAAATACCTGTAAGCCAAGCTATGCAAAATCATACAGTAAGGCAAGACTTTGTGTTCCTCAACGTAATCTTGGAGTACTTTTGTGAGATTTCCAAAATCGTCATCAATCCTCTGCTCTGCTTCCTTTGAGGATCTTTCTGCCTTGTCTTGATGAAGAGGATGCATCCTAGGATCACTACAACCATATTCAATGCGCTGATTGAGTTCTTGTAATTCTAGTTGTGGATTTGATCCTTGTGTCTGGCAATGTACTCAACCATCAACTGGTCATCTGTAAGATGGTACCAATAATCTTGATGTGGAGACATGGTCTTTCTGTACTTGACATGCCAAAACATGTGTCGATGCTTCGAAGACGCTGGATAACCTTTGTTGTAAAATCCTGCCCATTCACCATGGTAACCATCTGAAAAACAATCCTTCAATTTTCGAAAAACTGAATCATCTTCGTTTCCAGTGATATCTTGACCATAGTAAAGTCGAATTGCAGGTTTCACTTCAGGAGCTGTCTCATCATCTTGAATGTCTG